ATGTTTTCTAAATACCATGAATATACTGCAGACTGTATTTTAGATCATTTAATTGAACAGAAATTACAACAAGACATTTAAACAAACAATTATACTACCAAGTAATTCTTCTTAAGGCCTTACTCTAAGAAACAGTCATATTTACATAATTAAATGAAAAATAAAACGTCAAACCAATCAAAATAGTTGATTGATTAAATGACAGAATTAAATTCTAGTTTCATTACACCCATCAAATAAGTAAATTTATTGAACTGATATGAAGATACCATACTATTTTGTAATCTCATAGGTTGTTGATAATTAAACTCATTCATTCGTTCAATTTAATTATCACGAATTTCATTGCAATAGTATATTGATAAACTTTGAAATTTCAGTAGATTTAAAGAGGTTAAAGAAGATACCTGCTGACACTAACATAGTCTTCCATAAAGATTGAATACAAATAATTTTGTGATGAATAATAAAGACTAGATAGATACATGAAACGTCCGAACAATGTAGAAAACCGGGAAGATCAGTCAAATAGCCACGGAAATGATGAGAAACAACTTAGCATTACTCGGGATCAGTGAAACCCATTGGGCCCAAGCTGGACAGAAAAGGTAAGATTCAGAAGAGATGTTGCTGTACTCTGGTCACGAAGAGAAAAATGCTCTACACACACAGGCATTCGCTCTAATGCTGTCCAAAAAGCACTTATAGGGTGGGAATTTCATGCATCCAGAATCACCAAAACATCCTTCAAAACAAAGAAGGAGTAAAACACGATGAATGTTATCCCATATTATGCATCCATCAATGATAGCAACGACGACAATAAAGATCAGTTCTACGAGAGGCTGCAATCAATTATAGGGAAGTTACCAAGAAAGGATTTCACCATCCTGATTGGAGGCCTAAACGCCAAAGTTGGAATGGACAACACAGGATATGAAGATATCGTGGAACAACATGGACTGACTGAGAGAAAGGAACAGAAATGGTGACAGATTTGCTAATGTATGTGCCTCCAAAAATATGGTTATAGGTGACAAAATATTCCCACACAAACACATACACAAACCTGCATATGTCTGAATGGATCACACCACAGAGAACCAGATAGATCATATTTGTATTTTAAAAATTCAGAATGACAATGGAAGACGTGAGAACCAAAAAGAGGAGTTGACATAGCTTCAGATCACCATCTGGCAGTTTCCAAAATGAAACCGAAGCTAAAGAAACATTAGAAAACTGGACAGACAGCATTACAAAGGTTCAATACAGCCTTTCTTCGATTTACTAACAAATTCAGCCAATTCAAGATAACTCTCAAAAACACAATCCACTGAAAAAAGAAACAACTGGAAAGGGATCAAAGAAGCATAAACTTTAACGTGTCACGGGGTTCTGAGACGCAAAAAGCATCATCATAAGGGATGAATCTCTATGGAAACCCTGAACAAATTTCAAGACAGGAAGAAAAAGAAGACAGCAATTAACAACAGCCTAACAAGAAAAGAGAACGTCAAGGCACAAGCTGAGCAAACAAGCCAGTGAAGAAGAGCATTAGAGACGACAAGCATAAGTAAATGGAAGATCCAACAACGACAGCGAAACAATTTACGAGAGAAGGAACTATGAAAAAACATTATGACACGATGATAAATCTCGCAAGGAAATATGGTAAACCAGAGAGACTGTTCAAGGAAAAAGAATGCAAGGCAGTCACTGAGATTCAAGAGTAAGGGAGAAGATGAGTAGAACACTTTGAGGAACTCCTAAATAAACCAGCTCTGTTGAATCTACCGGACATCGAAGCAGTACACACAGACCTTCCTATAGATATCACTCCACCAACCATCAAAGAAATCAGGATGGCCATCAGACAAATCAAGAGCGGAAAAGAAGCAGGACCAGACAATATACCAGCCAAAGCATTAAGGCAAGACATAAAAGTAACTGCAAACATGATCCACATCCTATTCAAGAAGATTTGAGAGGATGAACAAGTGCCGACGAACTGGAACGAAGGACATCTCATCACTATACCAAAGAAAGGAGATCTGAGCAAATGTGAGAACTATAGAGACACCAGGAAAAGTATTCAACTATGCTGTTGAATGAGACGAAAAACTCAGTAGATCCACAACTTCGAGATCAACAAACCGGCTTCAATAAGGATCGGTCGTGCACAGTCCCAATCACGACGCAATGGATCGTTGCTGAACAATCATTTGAGTCACTATAAATCAACTTCAATGACTATGAGAAGGCGTTTGCCAGTGTAGGGAGAAGGAACTTATGGTAACTTCTTCAACACTATGATGTACCTGAGAAGATCATCAACATTATACGGAATTCATACGACGGACTACAGTGCGAAGTTGTGCATGGAGGACAGATGCATTCTACGTAAGGACCGGAGTAAGACAACGCTGTTTACTCTCTCCCTTCCTCTTTCTTCTGGTGGTCGACTGGATTGTGAAGACCTCGACATTTAAGGCAAATCACGGAATACAATGAACAGCTCAAAATCAGTTAGAAGATTTGGACTCCGCGGATGACATGGCTTTCCTATCCCATACACACGATTAAATGCAAATGAAGACAACTTGTGTAGCAGCAGCCTCTGCATTAGTAGGCTTCAACATACACACAGTAAAAACAAGATTCCCAAATACAACCCGGAAAACACCAACCCAATCACATTTGACGGAGAAGCTCTGGAAAAGATGGTAACTTTCATGTACTTAGGCAGCACCATCGATGAACCAGAGGGATTTGATGAGATATAAAGGCAAGGATTGGCAAAGCATTACAGCATTCATACAGCTAAAGAACATACGAAACTCAAATGAACTGTCTGCAAGCCAACATCAAAGTCAGAATCTCCAATACGAACGTCAAGAGAGTTCCGCTGTATTGAGCTGAGATTTGGCGAACTAATACAACCATCATCAAAAACATACAAGAATTTATAAACAATTGTCTGCGTAAGATACTGGATGTCCGTTGGTTGGATACCATCTGCAACAACCTACTGTGGAAGAGAACCAGATTCCAGACGAAGAGGAAATTGGAAAAAGACGTTTGAAGTGGATAGGACACATATTGAGGAAATCACCAAACTACATTACGAGGCAAGCTCCAATTTGGAATCCTGAAGGAAAATGGAAAGGAGGAAGGCCGAAGAATCAGGAACAGAAATCAGAAGAATGAATAGCAAATAGAAAGGACTACCCAGGACAGGGTTGGATGGAGAGTGCTGTTGAGCGGCCTATGCTCCTCCATGAGGGGCAACAGGCGTAAATAAGTAAACAAATATAAATGCATAACTTGTAGTCAAGGTAGCTTAAGGAATGATGTGTTTATTTTTAGTACTGAAGACTGAGACCTAGAGTTCTTCCCTATATATCACTTTCTACTCACTTATTATAATGAATGACAAGAATTTTGGAACGAGATTTTGTTCGTTCATCTTTCTTAGAATTGAGTTTACATCTAATAACTAATAACTCAACTTAAATTACAAAGGTGACATATTTATTTTTAGTGAGGATGCTGGAAAAATGCAATGTACTGTACACGATATATATATATATATATATATATATATATATATATATATATATATATATATATATCATAGATGTTTAGTGCAGAGCATAATGTAGTTTCTTACTTTGGTAAACAATTACTATCGTATATTAAGGTGAATAATGAGTGGATATTCTTGAGTAAATATGTTACAAACTAAATAAAATCTTTCGAAGTTTTTTCCACAATTAAATGTGTAAAACAGTTTTAGAACATCATTAGTATAGAATCTTGAAAAATTCATAAGAGATTGGAAAGTTTAAGACTGTATAGAAACAATAATAGTTGAATTATTTGTTATTATCATCAGCTTTATTCAATATTATATTTTCGGTACAATATAGAATTCTCAGCGTAAAGTATTTCAACAAGTTTCCGTTTCTTTCTTCTTGGTCGGTCCGGGCGATAAATATTGAGTGATCCCCAGTTAGATGTTAGCAGTTCAGTAAATGAACATCTGAATAATGTGCATTCTTTTCGCTGTATAATGCCAGCAACCACATTGTCTCTTATTGAGTTTTTGTAACTTTGACAACGAAAGGTTGTACACTTTTCAGAAACGCAGCAGAATAGGTTATGCGATTAATAAACATAATGATATATTAAAACAAACAAAAATAAATAACTTGTTGAAATATCAAGGTGGCAGGAACAGGTAGCCCAGAAGCTCAAGCAGGCCGCCCTTTATTCATGAGTCGATTAAAAATAGATCACCTTGAAAAACCTGGAAGCACTGGAAAGCTGTTTCGTCCTAGTATAAGACTCCTCAGCAGTGCGCATCCACGATCCCGCCCTTTGCAAGATTCAAAACCATGACCTACCAGTCCTGCGCACGAATGCTTAACCTCTAGAACACTGAGCCAGCATCAAACGGTGTTAATGTCTATCTTCAACCAATCCATGAAATTGCGCCAATGTACACCATTGTCTTCAGTGAGCTGATATCTCACAACAGACCTGCTTGAGCACTGCTGAGGAGCATGATACTAAGACGAAACGGCCGTCCAGTGCTTAGAGGTTTTCCATGTTGGTCTAGCTTCGATCGACTCATAATTTCAACCATTGATATTTTTGTTATCATTGTTATTCTACGCTGTGACATCATTAACATCTATTTTTAATTAGTTTTTTTTATTTATTATATTTCACTATGTTTTGTTTGTGTTAACATGATGTTTACAAAGAAGTTATAAACATGAATCAATTATGTTTCCATGTTATTTGTCATTGGTTTTTCTTTATTTTCACTAATGTATAATACGTACTATTGTTAATTTTAAATTGTTTATCTTGAATATAAAACGAATTAAAACTTGGAGTGTTATGAACTACTTATTAACAGTCTTTGAACTTATGTATATAATTGATACACACAAAATATATAAATCAATTTTCTTTATTTTAATTTTAAGGTAATTTTGTACTTCGTCCAACAAATCAAATTACTTATGCTGGATCTACAATACAACATGCATGTAGTGTTATGACTACACCAGTTTTTATTGAATGGTATTTAAATACTGTAAGTAATGTATTTTATTTTCCATTGTTTACCTTATTATTTTTGTATGTTATAAATAGAATATACATTTTTCAATTATTTATTATGTATTATTACTACACAAAAACTATTTAGTTAAGTTGCAAAACAAAACTTACTAGAAAAGGTATGGAGAAACTGAAAATGAACAATAAGACGAGAAATTATCGAAGATGTCATTTGATTAAGAATACTGATTATATATAGTATGTTCGATAAAGAGATACATCGTATTTGTTATGGAAAATGAAATGATGAACTATAGCAGAGCTATCATTGGATTCTGTTATATCCGAGTGAAGATTAAATCACGAGTAACTTCCGAGACATATTAATTGACTAATCTTATCTATACATTCTTATGGTATAACTATTCAATAATTAGATTATGTACATTTATATTCCTCTTATTATAAGCTTTATTTTGACCTATAATTTATTATTGTACGATTTACTGTTCTTAATCTATGTTCAGTTTATTAACTACTGCCTCTCATGTTCACAGCCACTTTTTGGCTTTATTGTGTACAAATGTTATTTCCTATTTTATGGTGCGTTGCGGTCTGTTTGGTTGATATATAAACCCAGTATGTCTGAAATAAATGATTCAATTCGATTCGCGTCGCATAGTGAAAGCTGGTATTGGTGTTCTGGACTCACGTGGACGGGCTAGGCGGACATAGGACCAATAAGGACTTTAGGCTGCTCATACAGGTTGAACGTCATTGGTTTGGCACAGTGCCAAGATTGTATGAGTTGTATTTCGATTGGTGGATAAATCACGTGATAAAAAGCCGAACATAAAGTCACAACAGATTCTGTTCTAAGCCATATCTAATATTGTCTTAATTGACTTTATTGTATTATTTCCAGGACTTTATTTGGGTTAGCTTTGAACAATTAACTGATGCCAAATCAATGGATCCATACTTTATTCCATAATACATCATAAACTGGCAAGATTTTCACATTCTTCATTCAGTTCTAGCATCAGGAAATAGTTCAATTAATTGTTTATGAGTAAAAGACGATTATACCACAGAAGCTAATATTTTAGTTTTTAATACTTCGTAATTTATTCTCTGTACATATCTTAAGCAAAAGATATTTTACTAAATCAGAGCACCTTTTGAAAAGAATGATAACCAGAAACAGAGACCCATTGATCTCATCCAGATCATAGATGAAATGTTTCATAAACACAGAAAAGAGCCAGTCGTATTAAAGAGCTGTATACTTGATCTTAATTGGTAATACTTACTTCACAAAACACTTAAGAATGATTCAGAATGATAGACATCTTTCTGTCTTTGGTTTAACCTAAATTAATCATATTAACACCACTCATACACCAAAATACACGAATTTTCTAATTAGTTTCAATGGGTCACTATTAAGAGTGAGTTCAGGTAGACTCTTATCAGTCTTATAGAAGTATTTTAAACTTTCAGGGTAAACAGTATATAAAGTACTTGAAAAATCACTTTCGTAAAACAAATAAGTAGAATAAATCTTTATTGTAGATCTAATTTAAGCAATTTTATATTTCATCAGAAATATGATTTACAATAAATGATACAATATCATTTCAATTTCACCTAAATTATCTAAATTAGATAAACGTAGAAAAGCAACTCACTTACTTACGCCTGTTACTCCTCGTGGAGGAGAATAGGCCGCTCACCAAAATTCTCCATCCAACTCTGTCCTGAGCAGTCCTTTCCAGATCCTTCCAGTTGTTATTCATCCTTTTCATATCTCCTTCTATTTCCTGACGTAATGTGTTCTTTGGCCTTCCGCTTCTCCGCCTCCCTTCGGGATTAAATTTAGGGCTTGCCTCGTGATGCAGTTTGATGATTTGCGTAATGTATGTCCTATCCATTTCCATCGTCTTTTCATAATTTCCTCTTCAGCTGGAAGCTGGTTTGTTCTCTCCCTCACAAGGCTGTTGCTGATGGTATGGATGAATGTGGAGTATCTTGCGTAAACAGCTATTTATAAATACTTGTACCTTCTTGATTGTGGTTGTTGTAGTTCTCCAAGTTTCAGCTCAGTACTGTAGAACTGACTGCCTTGATGTTCGTATTGAAGATTCTCACTTTGATATTGGTTGAAAGTTGTTTTGAGTTCCATATGTTCTTCAATTGTAGGAATGCGACCCTTGCTTTGCCAATCCTCGTCTTTACGTCTGCATCTGAACCTCCTTGTTCATCGATGATGCTTCCCAGGTATGTGAAGGATTATACATCTTCCAGAGTTTCGCCATCAAGAGTGATTGGGTTGCTGCTCTCCGTGTCGAATTTGAGGACCTTGGTTTTCCCTTTGTGTATGCTGAGGCCTACTGATGCAGAGACTGCTGCTACATTGGCTGTCTTTATCTGCATCTGTTTGCGTGTATGCGATAGGAGGGCTAGGTCATCTGCGAAGTCCAAATCGTCTAATTGATTCTGAGTTGTCCATTGTATTCCGTGTTTTCCTTCAGATATCGAGGTCTTCATAATCCAGTCGACCACCAGAAGAAAGAGGAATGGGGAGAGTAGACAGCCTTGTCTGACTCCGGTCCTTACATGGAATGCATCTGTCAGCTGTCCTCCATGCACGACCTTGCACTGTAGTCCGTCGTATGAGTTCCGGATAATGTTGACAGTCTTCTCAGGAACTCCGTAGTGTCGAAGAAGTTTCCATAACATCCTCCGATCTACATTGTCAAATGCCTTCTCATAGTCAATGAAGTTGATGTATAGTGACGAGTTCCCCTCAACTGATTGTTCGACGATGATCCGTAGTGTCGCAATTTGGTCTGTGCCCAACCAGAAAAGCAACTGTTTATGGATTATTATCTTTAAAAATTACGGGAATTATATCAACTGATTAAATTGAGTGATAGATATCTGTTTTATAGTCTTTTTTTGGTTCACTGATTATCTATTTATTCTAACTAACTTTCTTGTACATGCTGTAATGAACTATGCCCAAGAGTTGATACTAATACGCAGTCTTCTTATACATAAGCTCAACCGATTACTCAAATGAAAATATCGAGAGCGAAGAAGGAAGTTTATCGACTAAACAGAATCGACATATATGTATACATATCCCTTAGAAAATTAAACAAACAATGATGTATATCATTAAGGAATGAAAGCAATTCCCTGAGTAACTACATCCATTCATCATTCAGCAAATTTCTGATTAACCATTGTATCATCTTTCCCGCTTGAGAAGTAGGTGTGGCTTCTAGGGTTCAGTTGACTTTTTTGGGATGATGGCACATCAGTACAACCATTCAACTATGAACTGATGATTTTCGATCCGAATTTTTTTTAATTTTACAGATTTAAATTAATTAATATTGACCTAGTAGTTTTCTAATCTTTTAGAATAGTCAGTATTCATCACTGACACGTAACGAAAACTTGATCTGAACTTGAATTACACTGTTACAAGCCACGTAAATTTAAAAAAACGCTTGAGCTTTCTGCGTTTATACAATGATCCGGTTCAATTAAGTATGGACCAATGATGAATGAAGGATCCTGACAACATCAAGTTATTGATCAAGGTTTAGCTTCACCTTCTAAAGAAATAAAAAATGTCCATTGGTTGAAAATCTGGCCTCAATTTTTGAGTGATAAGCATCTACATTTATGATTGAAGTTTGCATATAATCTTTATTTTCCTCTTTCTGTTAGTTTTCCCATTCAAGTAGCTAGTTTGGAAGCGTACCGTTTATCCAGTTTGACCAGTAGTCAAGATATTTCTCATGGTCCACATAACACAATAATATCAGCTAAACAACTAGTGAAAATCAAAAAGCATTGGACAACCATTCTATCCGAGTATAAAACACCTCATGAATATGCTCCTTTTCCACAGTGTCTTAGAGATCCCCCAACCTTTAGATCACTAAACAGGTATCCTATGGTTTACATTTCTAACTAATATGTAGTATGACAGAACTTACTAATCACGTGTAAGTTCATTTACTTGACTTTTAGAACTACGTCTGATCTGAAGACTACTAATACTATTCGTCTACCTACGTCAAACTAAATATTGTATAATTCAAACATTATTACTATTATCATCATTATTACAAACATATTTTGTTATAAAGTATATCAATAGGAATGTCTGTTTTGTTTTATTAGAATAAAATTGGAAGTTGCCTATTTCAAACCAATACAACTACAAATACTTTTGGTGATCCTAAATTTCAAATTATTATAGGACAGTATACAGAGAAATTATTGCCAATATGTCAGCTTATCGTCACGAATATTGATTTTGTCGATACTGGTGAATACAAATGTAAAACTATTCATCATGATTCTGAAAGTGATACAGCTTCAGCTTATATTCTTGTTTCATGTAAGTCAGTTTTAATTTTATTTTCATAATAAATGAATGAAATACTGCAAATTTTATTATTTACAAGACATGAATCACAGTCCAAGTGTAAATAAATCAATGTAACTGTTATATCCTAGCGAAGATTAAATTACGACTAACTTCCAAGAGTGTTATAATCTCTTTCTTACAGTTATGACCCAGCTATTCGTATTGCTTAGTATTCTTGGACACCGATTCACTTGACAAGTCCCTAAATCAGAACATGGTGGAACAGGGAAGAGATTATATTCCAAATAACAAAGTTAGATGGAAGTAAGAAGCACAATAAGGAAAACGTTAATATATTTATAGTTTTCACATGAGAAGATTCTAGAGTATTCTCCAACTATCGACTAGTGCTGATCAGATAAGAATTAGCCAATCAGCGTGCATCAAAGCAATCGTGCATTGAGCATGCTTTAATCCAGTCTATGTCCCGCTAACAAAGAGCTATGAATGAACTAATATTATATATATATATTCCTATCGTATAACTATTCAGTAACTAGATTATGTATATTTATATCCCTCTTATTATAAGATTCATTTTGACCCATAGATTATTATGATACGATTAATTGTTCTTAAGTCATACTCAGTTTATGAATTCCAGTCTCCCACGTTCATAGCCACTTTTTAGTCTGATCTTGTAAAAATGTGATTTCCTATTTTATGATGCGATGAGGTCTATTTGGCTGGTATATAAACTAAGTATGTCTGAAATAAATGATTCGCATAGCGGAAGCTGTTATCGGTGTTCTGTACTCAACTGAACGGGCTAGGTGAGCAAAGGACCAATAAGGATGCTAGGTTGATCAGACCGGTCGAAAGTCATTGGTTCATTACAGTATAAGAGTGAATAAGTCGTATTTCGATTGGCGAATAATATTACATGATAACTAGCCGGACTTACATTCACAGCAATAACATTCTAATATTTAAAAAAAGTTTATTATTACCTTTCACAATTTATCAAAATATAGAAATTACTTACTTACTTACATATACCTGTTACTCCTCGTGAAGCTAAGTCCGTCGATCAAGATTCTTCAACCTATTCTGATCTGAATTCTCTTTTTCAGTCGTTTTCAAGTTCTATTCACTCTTTTAATGTCTGCCTATTCTCAGTTTTTCCTTGAGGATTCCAAGTTAAGGCTTGCTTTGTGATATAGTTTTATAATTTCCACAATATGTGCCTTATATACCACCAGTTTTTACTATTTAATCTTGTGTGCGGTCATATACATTATAAATCAATTTAGAATGATATAACTTCATGAACTGATATCATGTTCTGACTGTCGAGCTGTTAGATATTTATAAGTAGTGTGTATGAAACACTGGACTTAAGTTTATATTACTTTGTACTCATCAGTAAAGTATACCTTTAATCTTGAGAGGAATGTTGTTTTTTTGTGCATTCAAATTCACATAATCCAGTTTCACACTATGAGACGTTACCATTTAGCTATTCCCCAGAGACTAGAATATTTAGACTGATTAATCATTGAGTGGTGGCAAATGTTGTGCTTGTCTAGTTCTTTTATGCTGACAGTATTCTATAGGTCACTAAGCAATGTGAGTATTAGTCTAATTTATTTGATATCCCATGAAAAATGTTTTGATATTGAGGAATTGGAGGTAGTCATCTACATAAAAATAGGTTGTTTAAATGGTGAGTCAATATAAAACTTTACTGTTTGGTTCATGATGACCATGATTTTTTAAATACTTTTTGTTCGTTATGCCATTTCTAGTTGGTCTAACGGTTCGTTTATCAAATTATTTTATCTGCTAGTATTAAATACTACACTACAAATATTTCAGTGGTAATATACATAATTATTAACAATTTTATCACTTTATTGACTATTCCATATAAATGCGAGACGTTGTGACTTTTACAAATGAGACTATGAAGACAATCTTCTCCTTTACTGAAATATGTGTTTATAAAAAACAAACTTTTTTGTGTTATATTGAGAAGTTGTGACCAATATAGTGTAGGCCATGTCGGGTTTGTGACAGTTATCCACTACAGGCAGTGGATGAAGCGTTGTGCAAGATCGTGAGTTGACTAATACTAGACATTAACACCAATGGATGCTGTTTCTATGGTCTAGAGGTTAGGTGTTCGAGCATGATACCAAAAATTCTGGGTTCGATTCCCACGTGTGGAATCGTGAATAGACACTACCAAAAAATCCCATGCTAGGATGGGACAGACGTCCAGTACTTCCAGGTTTCCGGAGGTGGTTTAGCTAAAATCATTTTGTGAGTTCATCAGTGAAAACGATATAGTTGTTTAGGTCCTCATGGGGATTATGAATTTTCGTTTATACCAACCATTATTTGACACATTTGTGAAACATACATGAATTGATTAAACATAATATGGGTCTGTTAAAAACATTCGTGTATATTTATTGAGGGAAACTGTACGATCTTAGTGAATTTCACCAAACTGGAATTCTATCTATCGAGTGAAAATGATTATTTGTGTAGTACTTCGAAGAACTATCGTGATGCATTTTCATTGAGGGAGATTGATGGAAATCGACTTAACTTGTAAGCGTCATTCGTCACAGAATGATATCAGTCTAAATACTATGAAAAACCAGGAATCAGTGAACAGACATTCCATGATAGTTTGGGAGTGCCCTGTAGTACGAACTCAACACCCCTACATCTGAAGCTGATTGGAGTTGAAACTGCATAACTGGACAGAGGCTCAGTTGATACTGTGACTCATAATTTGCCAATGCACCTGAAGCTTCTATGTTTGAACCCGTCTTGAGTCGTGTACACACATAATTGGTGAGTTCTATATAAGGATGAATAAAGCTGTCCAGTAATCACTGGTTTTCAATGGTACCCTAAAATGAGATTGATCTGTGATTTGTTCTACCTATAATAGTATATCCTCACATTTTTAACTAATTAAAAAATTAAAGGAGTGTAATAATTTTGTCAAATAACGAATCAGTCTTTGTCTACTTGAGTACATACCCCAATATTAGCGAAAATTTTACAATGAGTGAAAAGAACAAAGTTGCTTCTGTTCAGGTTTTGTTATTTGATGCCGATCAGTGTATCAAAGTAGCTAATTAACCAATGTTTAAGTTTTCTCAAACCATTAAGTTTGAATATCTGTAAATTAACGTGTTTAATTTATGCAATTCTGAAATCAATAATTTTAATAGCTCACTTCTATATTAAGTTTGTATCATTGTTATTGTTGTTGCTTGGAAAGACAATGAAAACTTCTTGAATAAACAACTTTAATCAAAGATTCTCAATTCACTAAATTAATCCTCTTGAGTTACAAATCACCACTATCGCAAAATATACCTTCTGTCATGAACTATTATCAACTAGAGAATGACTGATAATCTAGGAGCTTTGAATATGTGTATTATTCTAGTTTAAAATCTAATACTCAGCAGTGAGTATAAACAATTATAGGTGGAATGAAGTCCGAAGTTTTTCAGTTTTCTCTGAGAGAACATGACACCTTTGAGCCACTAGCCGTAACCCAGAGGTCCTCATTCTCATCTCCAGTTTTCATTGATTCTTCAGCTGATATCAGTTTCTGATGAAAATTGTATTCTAATCAAAATCTAGTTTATCAAGCTCAACAGTAACTCACTTAGGAATTTTTGTTTTACATTCTAACAATACTCATATATTTGGAGTTCAATCAAGATGTTCAACAAAAGTGGTAACTTATACATTAACAAACTATCATTTATTCTCTGTTTAAATTTAGATTGATCTTAAAAATCTTAGTCTTACCGTTTGTTTCCACATTGATTCTGAATATTGCATGTTGTAAATAAAATCGATCTATACAAACAATTAATAAATAATATCTCCACATTGTACTCAAATTGATCTAAACGTACTAAAAACAAACATGTACTAAGCATAATTCTACTTTACTTATGAACTTTGTATTCATTTATTACAAATTAGATCCATTCAAGAATTCTTGTATGCATTCATAGTTTGTAGGATAATGTATGTTAATGTCAGTTATTAATGTTTAATGTATATATCTTATTTCTAATATATTTTTAACTATTTAATCAGATCCTATACGAAAACTTGAATTACACATAGACAATGAAACTTCTTTATCAGTTGGTCAACGTACTTATATTGAATGTCAAGCACGTGCTGGAAAACCTGCACCACAAATTCGTTTGAATTTAGGTGGACTGCCTATATCTGAAGCACGAGTTGTACAAAAAGTAGATGTTGAAGGTTAGCTAATAACAATAATGATATCAACATTAACAATGCATCTCCCTATATTATTTAAAATTAACATGTAATAATTCGCTTGAATAAAAAGGTAAACTTTACTCAAACTTGTAATTAAAAGGCTTTATCGTGGTCAACGGGCCTCCACTAAAGTACATATGCTAACAGAACCTGATTAAATGAAGTCCATGATGTTAGCAATACGATATTACTAACTCTTACCCGTTGAAAAAGTTAATTGCTACCTCAACTCAGAAGCTCAATGAATAAAGTATTGGCATTTTTAACAAAAAGTACCCTGTTCAAGTCCTGGTATGAACATGAACATTCGAATTTATAAACATTCACCTAATAAATCCTAAATAAAATGAATAGCACGTCTCGGATCCAACTTTACAGAGAGTTGTAAAGTTTATTTCGATGAATTTTTATGCTTGTTTTATCATCAGTCAATTGCTGAGAATGACATTATTCGACACCTGAAAAACTCAAATATTTACAGTCAATAATAAATGGAAAGATGTAAATTTTATTTCTTAGAGGAATTTATCACTTTCACCTTTTATCGTCATTTTTATAAAATTTGTTTTCGATGCAAGTACATTCATGTGACGAGTCCTAAATGGGACGAAACGCGTGTCTTAGATTCCACTGCTAGCTACCATACAGTTTTGCTTATAGTTTTGAATCTTCATCTTATTGATTACTGTAATACCATCCAAATCGAGGGATAAAATTACTATAATCTCCAAAATAACTGAATTGATCATTTGATTATAGAATTTGACAAATGAAATCCCTAAGAGAATAATTTCCACATACCGAAATTCTTATACGTAAATATCCATTATGAAATTATAACTGTCATTTATATATACAAAATAATCTATGAAAATTTTATAACTTTTCGGATAATAAATAACCAGGGATGAAAATAAAGGTTATGAATTAATCAGTTATACTTTGCTTCCCTTCTTCGTAACAGTTAGATACTTTGAGACAGAATAGATTTCAATAAATAGTTAGTGTATATATCCATGATCTTTTTGTAGGTTTATTCACAATGAAAAAGATTTGAATATATACTACTTATGAGAAATAAGGAATTGAATTGTAAATTGACTATATAAATAAATAAAAACACATAAATACAATAACATTAAAAATCTAGTCTACTTTAAACTGAAAATCTCTAAAAAATGAAATAATTCATTTTAACTCTACAAATCTTATTGTTCTAACTCGGTTCAAACTAATCAAGAGTTAGAATAATGAAATTTTCTAAATGTTTTGATTTATCTGATGTGTGAGCGAGAATGATAATAATTGGTTGTTTGCTTAGTAAGACATGTAAGTAGTCTGATAGGTGTCAGATGAGTTATATATATTCCCCTATCCTTATTATTACTTACTCACGTATTATTGATTGTTCATTGTTGTTGGATTTTGTCGGGTTTTGGATGCCAGCTCAGTGGTTGTTATAACTCAAAGGGCCGCCGATTAGAGGGCAGTGACTTATCGATCGGATCAAGGGATTCAGAATCTCGATAGACTATCCTGGTCCGTTGTCCCCAGCTCAGCTAACGCGATCAAGAAGTCTTGGTAAGACGTAGAAGTGTATTCTACAGGCAACCAGCAGATAACAGGCCAGGTCAGGTCAACCAGGCACACAAGTCAAGCGTACTTATACAAATATTTATAATCGATATTGTCATGGTAAAATGTTTTTTTAAACATTAATCAATAAGTTCATCAATCGACAGCCATGCAAATATTTAATCGATAAGTTCGTCAATTGACTTCTATTTAATCACTTAATCGATAAGTTCATCAATTGACTGCCATTCAAATATTTAAACATTTAATCGATAAGTTAATCGATAAGATGAAATTACAAAATATGAGTTTTGGGGATCTATAGTCCCCAACAGTGGTCTAGTTGGTTAAGCGCTTGGCGCGAGACTGATAGGTCCTGGGTTCGAATCTTGTGGGGTGTGTGATCGTGGATGTGCACTGCTGAGGAGTCCCGTACTAGGACGAAACGGCCGTCCAGTGCTTCCAGGTTTTCCATGGTGTTCTAGCTTCAACTGACTCATTATTTCAATCAGTGAGATTTCTAAAATCTCCACAAAACCCCTTCTGATTATATATATTCCCCTATCCTTATTATTATTACTTACTCACTTATTATTGATTGTTCATTGTTGTTGGATTGTGTCGGGTCTTTGGTGTGGAAATATATTTACGTTGTGGTCAGGCTAACCACGTGTTATTGATCTGAGTTGTGTTGAAGTCCTGTAGAATAGACACTGGGAGCGAATCTAGTGTAGATATTCGTCTGAGATAAATTAACGTCCCATTAGTGTAAACGTGGAAATCCAACCGTTATGACATTAGACGAAGTAAAACTGAGCGTTATAACATTATCAATACCAATCAGCTATATATATATATATATATATATATATATATATATATATATATATATATATATATATATATATTCCAGTTACTATGCTGTCAGAGTACTAATATAATAATCGAAGTCTAACTAATACAATCATTATATAATTTGTTTAATGACATGAAATAACTAAGTGAATAAAAAGTTCCCAATAATTGAAGTTTTCAAATATATAAAACATCCCAATTGTTTCGAATGACATAATATATCAGTAAAAATCATATCTAGAAGATACAATAAAAAAATAATGTGCATGATAGACCTTAGAATTATTTAATCATTAATTAGATATATGCAATACAATTTCTATAAGTAGACAAAACATAAAACAGTCATTTATAATTTTCTTTTTTTTTTATTCATATAAATTCAATTAATTGAAATAAACGTATTGAAGTTATTTTGATATAAACGTTTTTGTTTTCAATAAAATATCTTTGCAAAACAATTGTCAATTTCATAAGGAAAAATGGATAGTGGCTAGTAGTGGAAACCAGGACGCACGTCTCGTCCTATCAGGACTCAGTAGCTAAGTGAAGAACGTGATGGCATTTCAAGCGAACCGTATTGGGTTCGAGCCTTAGAGTGAACATCAACTGTGAGATGCAGTTACGTCCAGTTGACGAGTTTTAAATAAGACGAAACACGTGTCCAAGATTCTACTGCTAGCCACTATCCATATTTGCTTAAAATGCTTGTGAATTAATGGCTATATCGAGGCAATAGGCACAGTATGCACATATGCCAATAAGAGACTGATCAATTTCTGTCCTAAAAATCAATGTTAATATTCAAATAAAACAATACCAAATGGATTTAAATAACTGATTTCATTTGTTACTGGTGAACTGCAATAGCTCATCATGTCAAACACAAAAATATCACTTAACCTAGACTCACCGAATGGTACTGCTGGGGAGTTATTATTGCTGTTCGTAAACCAATAAACTCCGTCTGTAGCACTCCAGAGTTACTGCCGGTCCCAAACCCGGACAAAGGAGGAGGGTTGGGCATGGGGTTAGCGTCCCCATCCCGTAGAAAACTAACTCGCTAAAAAAACGCTTACCAGAAAAAATAATTCAAACCATTTAAACTCTGCCCTGGGAGTTAGAAGGTCTTCAGTTAGAAGAATTATGACGCTTCATGGTGAAAGCCGAGTTCCTTCGGAAGCCACGAGGCCGATGCCCCTTCTAACAACCAGAGCAAAAATTTTTATAGGTACATGGAACGTTCGAACAATGTGGGAAACCGGGAAGACCAGTCAAATAGCAATGGAAATGAGGAGATACAACTTAGCAGTACTGGGAATCAGCGAAACCCACTGGACCCAAGCTGGACAGAAAAGGCTAGCTACGGGAGAGATGCTGCTATACTCCGGTCACGAAGAGGAAAATGCTCCACACACTCAGGGAGTCGCTCTTATGCTGTCCAAAGTAGCACGAAATGCACTTGTAGGATGGGAGTCTCACGGATCCAGAATCATCAAAGCATCATTCAAAACAAAGAAGGAGGGGATCTTAATGAATATTATCCAATGTTATGCACCCACCAATGATAGCAACGACGACATTAAAGATCAGTTCTACGAGCGGCTGCAGTCAATCATTGAGAAATGCCAAGAAAGGACCTAACTATTCTGATGGGAGATCTAAATGCCAAAGTCGGAATAGACAACACTGGATATGAAGATATCATGGGACGACATGGACTGGGAGAAAGAAACGAAAATGGAGAAAGATTTGCAAATTTGTGTGCATTCAACAAATTGGTCATAGGAGGCACAATATTTCCACACAAGCGTATACACAAGGCTACATGGATCTCACCGGACCACACTACAGAGAACCAAATAGATCATATTTGCATCAACAAAAAATTCCGAAGGACAATGGAAGATGTGAGAACCAGGAGAGGTGCTGACGTAGCTTCAGATCACCACCTAGTTGTAGCCAATTTAAAACTGAAGCTAAAAAGAACTGGACAAGTGGACAAACAGCACTACAAAGGTTCAATACAGCCTTCCTTCGAGATACTGACAAACTCAATGAATTCAAGATAGCTCTCAACAACAGGTTCCAAGCCTTACAAGATCTACTGAAGAAGAAGAAACTAGTATGGAGGACAACTGGAAAGGCATCAAGGAAGCATTAACTTCAACGTGTCAAGAGGTTCTGGGCCTAAAGAAACACCATCATAAGGAATGGATCTCTATAGAAACACTGGACAAGATCAAAGAAAGGAAGAACAAGAAGGCAGCAATTAACAACAGCCGAACACGAGCAGAGAAAGTCCAAGCACAAGCTGAATACATAGAAGCAAACAAACAAGTGAAGAGGAGCATTAGAGCCGACAAGAAGAAATACGTGGAAGAACTAGCAACGACGGCAGAAAAAGCTGCTAGAGAAGGAAATATGAAACAGCTTCACGATACAACGAAGAAACTAGCAGGGAAATACAGTAAACCAGAGAGGCCGGTCAAAGACAAAGAAGGCAAGCCAATCACCGAAATTCAACAACAGCGTAACAGATGGGTGGAATACTTCGAGGAACTCCTGAATAGGCCGGCTCCAATGAATCCACCGGACATCGAAGCAGCACACATAGATCTTCCTATAGATGTCAACCCACCAACGACGGAAGAAATTAGAATGGCCGTCAGACAAATCAAGAACGGGAAAGCAGCAGGACCCGACAACATACCAGCTGAAGCACTGAAATCAGACATCGAAGCAACCACAAGCATGCTTACCTTCTATTCAAAAAGATTTGGGAGGAGGAACAAGTGCCGATGGACTGGAAAGAAGGACACCTCGTCAAGATTCCAAAGAAAGGAGATCTGAGCAAATGTGAAAACTACAGAGGCATTACACTACTGTCAATACCAGGGAAAGTCTTCAACAGAGTGTTGCTGAACCGTATGAAGGATGCAGTAGACGCCCAACTTCGAGATCAACAAGCTGGATTCCGTAAGGATCGGTCGTGCACAGACCAAATTGCAACACTACGGATCATCGTCGAACAATCAGTTGAGTGGAACTCATCACTATACATCAACTTCATTGATTATGAAAAGGCATTCGACAGTGTAGATAGGAGGACATTATGGAAACTTCTTCGACACTACGGAGTTCCTGAGAAGATTGTCAACATTATCCGGAACTCATACGACGGACTACAGTGCAAAGTCGTGCATGGAGGACAGCTGACAGATGCATTCCAAGTAAGGACCGGAGTCAGACAAGGCTGTCTACTCTCTCCCTTCCTCTTTCTTCTGGTGGTCGACTGGATTATGAAGACCTCGACATCTGAAGGAAAACACGGAATACAATGGACAGCTCAGAATCAATTAGACGATTTGGACTTCGCAGATGACCTAGCCCTCCTATCGCATACACACGAACAGATGCAGATGAAGACAGCCAGTGTAGCAGCAGTCTCTGCATCAGTAGGCCTCAGCATACACAAAGGGAAAACCAAGGTCCTCAAATTCGACACGGAGAACAGCAATCCAATCACTCTTGATGGCGAAACTCTGGAAGATGTATAATCCTTCACATACCTGGGAAGCATCATCGATGAACAAGGAGGTTCAGATGCAGACGTAAAGGCGAGGATCGGCAAAGCAAGGGTCGCATTCCTACAATTGAAGAACATATGGAACTCAAAACAACTTTCAACCAATATCAAAGTGAGAATCTTCAATACGAACGTCAAGGCAGTTCTACTGTACGGAGCTGAAACTTGGAGAACTACAACAACCACATCAAGAAGGTACAAGTATTTATAAATAGCTGTTTACGCAAGATACTCAACATCCATTGGCCGGATACCATCAGCAATAGCCTTGTGAGGGAGAGAACAAACCAACTTCCAGCTGAAGAGGAAATTAGGAAAAGACGATGGAAATGGATAGGACATACATTACGCAAATCGTCAAACTGCATCACGAGGCAAGCCCTAAATTGGAATCCTGAAGGGAGGCGGAGAAGCGGAAGGCCAAAGAACACATTACGTCAGGAAATAGAAGGAGATATGAAAAGGATGAATAACAACTGGAAGGATCTGGAAAGGACTGCTCAGGACAGAGTTGGATGGAGAATTTTGGTGAGCGGCTTATTCTCCTCCACGAGGAGTAACAGGCGTAAGTAAGTAGGTAATTAAGTAAACCAATAAGTCTTTTGTTACTGAAATACTAAACGAGTCAGTTATAACACATGAATTCATTTCTTTTGTGTTTGTATGTACATGTATATATGAATTAGAATGAGTAGATAATTCCCATAGATAGCAATTTCGTTAAGGTGATAAAAGAGAACTTGAACACATTTATATAACAACTGTTCTTCCCTATTACATAACTCATTATGAACCGATAAGATTATCAGTTAAACTAATTTTGTTTACTATAAATGACTTTTCAGTTTAGTGGTTGTGGAGATTGTTAAACTGTTGATTGAAATCATGGCTAGCTTCGTGAGAAAATTCTCGGAGTTCTGATGAGAAGTCCGTGTCGGGTAGAAACAGGTGTCTACCTCAGTACAATGGAAGATGGTAGCGCAACGTCGTGGATTGGTTGAGGTTAGACACTACCACCATTGGATGCCGGCTCAGTGGTGTAGTTGGTTAAGCGCTTGGCGCGAGACTGATAGGTCCTGGGTTCGAATCTTGTGGGGTGTGGGATCGTGGATGTACACTGCTGGGGAGTCCCGTACTAGGACGAAACGGCCGTCCAGTGCTTCCAGGTTTTCAATGGTGGTCTAACATCAATCGGTTCGTGATTTCAACAAATGACTTTTTTAAAATTCACTAAAAATACAATTGAATTGCCATGGTGATCTAGATTTAATCGATTCATGAATTCAATCTCCACAAAACCCTCCCCTTCTGAAAATAAATTAATAATTGAGTCATTAGACCGATTGGAAAGTACAAACAGCATACAAAGCTTAAAGTCGAAGACACAGTTATTTAAATAGATAATGATGAGCATTCACTGTAAATAATCACAGAAGTTATGTGCAAGACAATCAGAAAATTACATTGGCTCAGTAAACCTAATAAATTTTGTAAAATTCAGATGGAAATGTAATTACAGGGGGATAAGATTCAAAGATAGAAAAGAATGTCAAAGAAAAAAGCAGCGAATAAGAATATAAATGTATGAAGAGAAATAGGGGAATGACAATAAGACTGATTGTACAAATAGATTTGGTTTCTCATTGTGTTTTGATACACTGACAAAGTAAACATGATATTCGCTCACACTCTCCGTTATCAGTTGGAGTTTTATCTCGTAAATAAATTAGACACCGAATCTTATACCATAAATTTCTTTTTCAATCATAGATTGCAGAGCATATAATCTGATGGTTTCTATATTAGTTTGTATTAAGATATACTGTAAGGTGTTTTTTTTAATTTTGGTAAATATTGTTTGACAAATAATCAATGTACTTAGTTGTACAACCATTGGAGGTTAAGTGTGGATGCAGTAAACTGACTAATTGTTGTATAGAACAGCATAGGTTCATACACTTTATTCTATTCTTTAATAATAGTAACAATAATAATAAGCAAGTGGTACCAAAACATTCACTTTTTTGGCTCGATTTAAAAGCAAGAACTACTTTCTCCCCGTCTATTTGTCTTCGTATCTCTTAATGAGTTTTAGTTGAAAAGTAAACCAACAATAGTCCAGAAATATTCAGATTATAAGTATGATCTTTGAAGAAATTATTTCTACTTTTACATTATAACAGGTTTAATCACTTCAACTGCAACAGCCAACATTAAATTAACAAATACGCATCATTGGCAATTGTTAACTTGTCATGTTGATATGCAAGCATATCGAAATGTCAATCAAACGTTCAAAGTAATTCACCTTAGCGATTATGGTATGTTTAAAAATTGTTATAGTTTTTAGTTGGAATTTAATTAATTCAATAGAAAGACTATACGATATATACAGAGTTGATGAGTAATTGTGAAAATACTAAATGAATCGAAGGTTACTATTTCTCATTGTTTGTCTTGACCAGTTATCAATATTCATGATTGTATTTAAATCGAGGTTTAGCTTCCTTAGTAAAACAAGATATTTCCTTTGTATAAAATCCCCCTGGTTCGAGTTCTGTCCTAGGCTGGATTCTAACAACAACAATCATCAATCTAGTCTTGATAATTTAGTCAATCTAGACTATATATATATATACGTTTTTTCATATCTGAACTGATTTGAATTTAATAATAAATCCCCCAGTTTTATTAAAATTATCGACTATATACATTTATAAATTGCTTCACTTTTCTAGTAGAGTTACAATTTGTTTCATTTCAAGGGAATTCACAATATTTGTTACGACCTATAGTCCAGTTCATATGTATAGGTGAATTAGACATAGAAATGAATTCAATTTGATGAAGAATGGTAATTTACCAAGTAGGACTAGACAGAATAACGTTAGGTCATGCAATCTTTCACATTCGAGTAAAGTAAGAATATTAGGAATAGAAAAACACACTGTTCGGTGATGAATTATATTTCTCAGTCAAGTTAGTTTACTAATTTTGCGGATTCTATACACAAATTAGATTATTGATTACTACCAGTTCAGCATATCCAAAATTATTGACTAACCAAAAAATTCAAAGTGACCGGTGGTTGGTGAATAAACCAGTCCTCTATCGTCTCGTTTTCTTTATCGCATCGACAAACCAGTCTCGTTCCGTTGCGGTAAGTAGCAGATAGAACTTACCCTTCATTCATAGTAAACATTTTTACCAGTCGCAGAAATCAGTAGTTAAACAATTTACTAAATTGCCTTGACAAATTAGTCTTGGTTCAAGTCACTACAAAGAATAACATTTGTGGTAAAATAATGTGAACTGATTTGTTTTGTGGATTCTCTTCAACTATTTACAGTTATTTATTTCAACGCATAAACATCGGTACAAGGCACCAAATGTATATGCGCCACATAAATCATTCCATCTGTGTGAAGGCTGAGATACTACCGGGGTGACCAAACCGAAGTAGGTGGTTTACATAGGGGGCCCCATACAGAGCCTTCGACCCAATGGTCTGATCCACAAGGCAGTGTAGCCCATGGCAGCTGGTGACCAACAATAGGTTCATACACCATTTGTTCCCTTTCGGATCGTATGGCCCATGTGCACGATTGGTTTGGAATCCAGGTTTTCCAACTCCCCTAGATGGATTCACTTCAACCACCAAGCCGGTTAAAGCACCGGACATTCACTTTTCGTCCTCCCAATTTCGTAAGCAGCACCCCCATTTCGAAAAGGCAGTGAGTAGGACTGCCCTGGTAGTGGTTGTATTTATGTGGTCATGTGAGAGCATTTCGAAAGGGAGAGCTGACTCTCCCCACTCTCGGTAGTATCAGAGCATTTAAAGGCCAACTATTTACAACCTATAAATAATGGTATTATTTATTTTAAAGTTAAGTGGCGTACATACTATATTAATCGGGTTCTGTTATAACATACCGTTTTTCCGTATACACTAAATGGACGTTAAAATACCTTAGATGAATATCTACACCAGATACCATTGTAGTGTCTATTCTATAGGGATTCAACACAACTCGAATCAGGAACACGTGACTAACCTGACTAGAACGTAAGCATATATCCACTCCAAAAACCGACAACAAAACGAATAAGAATGAGCCAGATAATATATAATTCACTTAATACCTATCAGACTATCTACTAGTCTAAGCAAATAACCAATCACTATTTTCCTCACCCACACATCAAGTTCTTGTCAATGAAGCACAATAAAAAGAGGAAGAACTATAGAATAATAAATGTTCACATAGTTGGACATTTCTGTGTAAAATAATGTGAATATACTAATGTTACTAAAAATTTGATGTTAAAAGTTACGTGGTAATAATCACAAAAAGGATTGATTATAAGATGATTCACTAGGGTTCCTAGTTGAGAGTACGAAAAAAGATGACTTAAGCAATAGAATACAGAGTTCATGAGAATGAAACTAATCGACAACAAATATACTGAACTGAAACTTGGAAGATCGACATGACATTATTTGTGTATCTTACCAAAAATACACAAACCCAGTTTTCTTATTCGACCAATATTGTCAATCGTTAATTCTCCGTTTGACAAATCTGTCCGATGGTAAAGGAAACATTTAGAATATTTTTGGTAAAAGATAGTTGTTCATAAATTGAAGGATACCTTTAAAGTGAAAACCGTCAGAATGATAGCTTTTTTGGTTTTACGGTATAAAGTATGCACACTTTTCTGAAGTAGCTAACAGTATTATTTCTAGGTTGTGGGTAGTTGAAGATAATCCACAAAATGGATGAATTCACATTGTGTCCTAGATTCATTCAAATTTATAAATGGGAAAAATCGTGTTTCAAAACTGAATGTTACGTTAGATGCAAATTTGGGCGGTATATGGTTAAATAATTTAGTGATGTTATTTATTTGAGATCCCCACTCATACTTAATACGTACAAGCACAGAATAATTATAAGCATTCTCATTCAAGTCTCTATAATTCAGAGTTCTATACAATATTTCCTTTAACCTAGTACTGTCAGTTCAAAATTTTTATGGAAGCTAATCAGTAACAGAACTCAAGCAAATCATAGCATTTACAAAAACTTATTATAGTACACCGTAAATCTCTAAAATATTTTTATCTAGATGATTTCCCTCGTTCTTATTTTTCACAGTACCAGCAGAACTGTAAAGATGAATCGAAGGTGGAGACACCAAACTAAGTAAATGCATTGCAAACGTTATAAACAATTTCATGAATACATATTTCTATTTTATAAATCTCACCTTGTTGATACTGGATCATTCATACGTGAAATTTCAAGCTTTATTATTTATCTTTTAACTACCTTCATTATTAATGAATGTCAACTGAAATATGATAGAATTTAGAATAAATTTTCCAATACAACAAAAAATTGGATTTTGTCTTTTCGACGATAACCTTCATTGTAGTTTAACATCTCAGTATGGAATGGATAGTTTTAGATCTTAGAGTAGAAAAGTTACTCAGCAATGAGAAACCACAACTCCACATTCCAAATTTAGCCGCTTTTGGAGTATAAATTGATTATCATCGAATGCTAACCAATGGCTGTTTTGCACAAAATCCCATTCCCCGATAAGAACTCGGAGAATCCACATACTAAATAGTTATCAATTAATGAATAGGCTGTTAAGTCAATTGTTGATTTCTTCATTCCCATGTTTTTCATGCGATGTAAACTACCTAACGATAATGAGATGTGTCTAATCATTTTAACGATACGCAGAAGTAAATAATCATATTTTGATACAAAATTGTGTATAGGGAGTGCAAAACTCCAGGTAAGAACGAAACTAGAATCTGAAAATTTTCAAGTGATAGTGACGTAAGGTATCTAGTGAAAAATGGAGGATTAGTTATCAAGCAAATGAGAAACCGCAGTCTCACATAATAGTAGACTGACGAATTGATCAAAAACTATGACGAATACTCTGGTGATAAATTACTCTTCGGAATGAATTCATGTGCTCTCATCGAAGCACCACTTATTTGGCTATTTCTTACACTTGATTATGGAGAACATCACTCGGATTTCGAGTTAGCGTTCAGCCGTCTGTGGCCACTGAAAATGTGATTATTCATTGAGTGTTAACTGACAAATACATCTTACTATTTTACTTCATCTTTAAACCCACTAAGTGCGGACTGCTTGCAATCCCATTGAATTAAGTACTGCTCAGACTATTCCCTAGATCTCTGTTATAGTCGTGAATTGCATAGCCAGTATAACACGACCCGGACTGTATATAGAACCTATTGAGTATCCAGCCTAAATTTTAATCACCGTTCAAATTATCGTATAGTAGTATTATACTGTGGCAACAAGATACAATTTTTATCATCCAGCTATATCTGCATCCCTACCTTTCTTCCAACTTCTACACGAAACCACTGCCCGTTGAGATAATCGGTGGACCATCTCAATCGATAAAGTCCCTCTACTCCGTCAAACGACTTGCTCATAAAAATGGGGAAGGCGGACAATTCCAATGATCATCACTCGTAGTCATCAATTCCGATGACAATTGGATATAAGCTCTGACTCGATTAGCAATGTTAGAGAGCCTGTACAACGTTAATTTACTATTTGGTAGACCTTTCTACGACAGTTGGTCTATGGAGTCGACTGCAGGCTTAAGGTTGAGAAACATGGATGGTTGGGAGTCGGTAAGCATATATGTTCTAGGGTGTTGTGAAGGATGAATATTTGGTCTATATATCCATACCCAGACCTGAAACTAGCCTAGTTTTCCCAGACCTAGTTAAGCGTTGGATGATTATCAAGGGTAATTCTTTAGACATTATATTAATCAAACTGATATGTTATGTGAAATGAATTGTTATTATGAACCATGGAACGAATTTTCATAAGTAAAATGAACATGGAAGAGCGAATCCTAGTTTTTTGGTCCTAAGTAATGGGACAAAGATATAAATAGAAAAGTTAGAACGACTTTATCATTGCAACCAAAATAGTAACATAACGTTGCATGAAAACAAAGGTTCAAACCCCAAAACAATGAAGCTAGTCAATGGAAAAGAAGTCAACAAGAAACACATTTTATAGATTACACAGAACGGAATATTGATGTAACAAATATATAAATGAATTCAAAATAATCACAAATAAGTAAAACGTAGTAAAGATGGATCTAACTTGAAAACACTTAAATACAGTTAAAACCACTTTGTAAAAGTTATACGACTAAAAATTAGTAACGGACACCCCAATGAGGTCTAATTGATGGTCTTTGATTAGGTTGCACAAAACGATCGTTTGTAAACTGTTGTTGATATGGATACCCACCAAAAGTTGGTGCGCCATATGAATTCCATGATGATCCATTAAAATTATTTCCTACACCACTAGGACCAAACGATCTTGCACCCATGTAGTTCCCAGAAAATCGGTTGACAGGTACTTGATCATATCGCGGATTTGAAAATTGTGGCTGAGGGTCTTGCCAAAGACCACATTGAATATCATGCACCTGTTCTGAGTCAGTAGAACGATTAGGACAATTAGTATAGCGTCCGAAACCTTGTTTTTCCGAGTATGAATTTTCATACCCTTTATTTCGATGCGACCGACCCGAGAGTAACGGACAATTACCGGATGTAGCGAACCGTTTTCTCGGCGGAGAATCGAAGTTATTTGCCTCATCAAAACTAGCATTTGGTTTTAATGCTTCTGGCGAACATAGTTGACGCAACACATTAATAACATGCTGATCTTCTTCTCGAAGATCGGCAACACCTTCTGGTCGTAAGCAAGTACGGACAAGTAATGCCTCCAATGCTGGACGAAAGGCGAAAATTCGGGCAGCAGTCATGAAGCTCATACGGAAAGGAATCCAATCATCAATAACAACTATTCCTTTATCATTAGAATCATCAGATTTCCAGATAGCAGAGCGGCAGCCAAAAAGCATTAACTGAATTGGATTCACCATTGTAAGACCTTTACACGAAACGGCCTGAGTACGAATCTAAAGTATGAAAGCATAATACACTTTTATCATAATATCATCATGCAACTTTATAATAAGTAGACAAATGTTTACTTCTATACATAAAAATACAGCAGTTCTTCAAAAGTATGATTCTTAATAGAGTAAATAAATAACGAACGATTCTTCGTTATCTTAATATATAATTATTCCATTAAAAACCTGTTGAATTATTTTTTAACATTTGACAACACTTACTTTTTCATCGAAAACAAAAAATGGATGAGTGAACTTGATGTCCTTCATGCAATTGACAGAACTTTTGTGTATAAGTGCTAAAGTACCTTCAGTTGTTAGTAATTTGCGTTTATCTGAATGAAAACAGATATTTGGATACAATCCAGACACAAGTAAAGTACTAAGTATATCGCAATCGATATTGTGTTTCAAATTAAAATTAACCGGTGCATCCGACAGTGACTCTTCTGGGAAACCCAAGTTAATGAGAATAGCTCTAAGCTAAAAAACGATAGAAATAAAATAATATCAAATGTCATGAAGTCATGCACATAACAGCGTACATAAAACAATCTGAAGAATGAATAACAGTACTAATTAGTTTACAAAGCATCGATAAATGCAGAACAAAAATTAACTATTATATAAAGTTTTATGCATCTTATCTAGGAGCTATTAAAGACACAATATGGTTGGAATCAGATAACACTTACCAAGAAAGTTTGAAATTTATCATAACCAATCGAGATTAGAAATCAAACAACAAAATCAGTCAACTTGATAAAAATCGTCAAAACAAACCAAGTTATGTGAAAAGAATTGCAGTAAAAAAGCTATGATGCGATACAGGTTAAGTAATCATTGACTTTGTAAACGATTGGGATATACCAAGTAGGCTTAACCTTAATTATGTCAAAATTCCACGGATCTATCTTACTGACACACAATTGGTCGAATGCTTAATAGTAGTAACAATAAGACCTTGTGTTCGGCATCCTGTGGGATCGCAATTGTATAGTACTATCCGAAGCTAGGATAGAACAGGTTTTCAGTGCTCTTTGATTTTTAGCAGTTTTTCAACTTATGTTCAATCATAATGGAGACTTTACGTAGGCGAAAGGAAAACGCTAACATCCTTACAACGGAAATATAACACAATGGATTACAAGTTGTTTACATTCATTGTTAATTTTCATTTCTATTACGCTCTGAACAGCCTGAGAGTATCAAAACGAAACTTTAAATAAACATATTACTCTGAATCAATTTGATCATGATGCAGGCTTTTGTTTCTGGCCTACAGTTATCGAAGAAGACTAGACTGTTAGTTCCACAATGAGCTATTATCAAAATTAACACAATTAACAGATCCATTTGTAACTGTTTCACTTATGAGTATTCAGTTTCTCATTGTATAGTTTCTTTTATTTAGGTCAATTACTACTTGTAAACTGACTGTTCTCTTATTGGTTGATACATTTATTATGTTTGATTTATTGAACTAGTTTTTTTACTTTTCTGCACTAAGTTGACTGTTGTTATTGAGTTTTTCAGCTTGAATATGAGGTTGTAACCCAAGTAAACTATTATTTACTGTAGAACCATTCATTGATTTATGTATAAATATTACGCGAAGTTAAGAGTCTTCTGACTTGAACCGACATCAGGTGAGTGATTCCGGTGATCACGTTTACAGTGTACAATAATAAACCATATTTCATGAAACTAAAAAATCTGTCAATGAGAAACATTGATATATAAATTGCTGCTGGGAACCGTAAAAACAAATGGGATATGTTTTAATAAAGAAGATACAAGACTGTTTAGGCTTTAATGAAGATATATTTCGGAATTTGTACTAAAAGCTAACTTAAAAATGGAAAATCTAAGGGCAAAATCTTACAGAACTATAATTACAGTTGCCAATTTTCTTTATAAGTAAAACATCTGTTAGAGATTTCTATAATATGATTATAGATTTAAAGTGACTTCCATACAGGTTAAATTTATTAGTCACCACGATCTTAATAATTGAAGGCTTTGCGGTTAAATCACTTGACTTTCAAACAATTTATCATATGTTTGAACCCCACCAGAGTGGTATTATCAGTAGTATTACTAGTCATATATATAGGAAAAGTCAAATTTATGGAAAAATTACTTCACAAGACCATAAAGAAGCAAGGAAGAAAACGAAGAGAAATACTAGGTATGCATACTTGGTTTGCAGCATCATCAATAACTCTTAACGCAGAGCTATTGAAACCATGTTGATCACAAAATAAATCTGCTGACTCATCACCTCGACGAGTACGTTCAGTCGTCCACTCTTGAAAAACATTCAAACCAGCCAAATGATCACTTGAGTAGCCAGCTGCAAATGACCGTTGCTGATTTGTGAGTCTCCTATGATCCGGAGGCAATAAAAATGGATCACATCCAAGACTTGCAGTAGATGTGAGAACAGCAGCTGCTCCACCCAGATTAAAGACACAAGCAAATATTAACATTTTCCCCAAACGTGGCTCGATTGGAAGTCGAGCAAGAATAAATCCCAGAGGAGTCAGTTCATCATTTTTATCCAACGCCTTCATCTCTGATTGTTATTAGAGAAAAAATGTAACATTTCAGAAAAAATCAGCTTTAACAAACGATATACAACTATCAGGGTATTAAGTTCGATAACTGTTTTACTATATGTGATCTGGGCAGTTGGATAGTATCAGTAACATAACTATGGTCTCTAAACTTCACAATTATTACTTCTGATTTCGTTATTATGACTAGAAATCGCCCAAAACGTATATTTTTAACTTAGCCACTACACACCAAAGTTATTTACACTGGAAAAAGAAGGGTTTGAAAACATTTACCGGTGGCTAAAAACGGTCATGTACAAAGTAGTTCAAGTCAAAACTACTCAGTATGAGTACATGTTCATCTTATGAAAAATCTCAACGAAGATAACAGGCAGATGATTTAAAACTCCCATATATTTGCCATACCAATAAGCCCTTTGTTATCGGGACGTAGACTGCATTAATGCATGCTCAATGCACGATTGCTTTGGTGCACGCTGATTAGCTAATTCTTATCCAATAAGCGTTAGCCAATACTTAGTGAACACTAGAAATCTCATGTGAAAAACTATGAATATACTAACGTTTTCCCTATTGTGCTTCTTGCCTCCATCTAACCTTGTTATTTGGAATATAATCTCTTTCCTGTACAACCGTTTTCTGATTTGGGGACTTGTCGAGTGATTTGGTGTCCAAGAATACTAAGCAATAGGAATAGCTGGGTTATAACCGTGAGAGAAATATAACACCCTTTAATGGAGGAAATAAATCCCCTTTATTGACATATCATTAGATTTGAAACATTTCACAATCAGTCAACAAACTACAATGAAAATATCACGTAAAAATTCGTTGGATTTTGTGTTTAATATACTAAACAATCTTAGAACACTTCGCAATTAGTTTGCTAAATTTTACAAACATATTATATGATGTATGACAACAAATTACAAAAATAATCACAATAAAATAAATATACAACTCAGTAACATAGTTTACCTTTTAATGTATGTTCTGCTTCAATAACTGCGTCGAGTGGTGGTGGTTGTAAAGCTTTCATTAAAAAGTCTCTAACAGAACCAAGACGCAAAAGCTTTATGAGTAATGCCAGTTCGTGTAACGGAGTACGCAGAATCTCCGGAGTAGCATGCTGTTCTAAACGATCAAAGCGAGCACGACTAAAAATGAAAGCAACGTTGCAATTAAATTACAAAGTTAACTAACAAAAATGTCTGAGCAAACAAATTTTCGATAAACAATATTAGCCGCATTGTCTTTCATGCAAAACGCAGTATATGTCAGTCCTATATAAACGCATTGAATGAACTAATAATTACATTAAGCTTAAGAATAAGGAAAGCACCTTACTTACCTACAAAGATGAAAAGCGAATCCTGGACGAACTCGACCAGCTCTGCCTCGCCGTTGTTCCAGGTTTGTTTTGCTTGCCCATGAAGTAGAATATGACGTCAGATTGTTACGAGCAGTGAAAAGCTTCGTGCGTGATAAGCAGAAATCTATCACAAAGACAACATCATTGATTGTGATAGATGATTCAGCTATGTTAGTTGCCAACACAATTTTTCTAACACCAGAAGGAGTGGAACGAAAAACTAGGCGTTGGTCTTCCCTAGGAATCTGAGAATGTAGCGGCAGAATAACATAGCTGGGACTTCCATATCTCGAATGAGACTGTAAATACTTTCGCAAAAGACTAATGATATTCCAACCAGGAAGGAAAATAAGGACAGCGCCGGGAATATTCATACCTATGATCTTATCCAAAAGCGCACCCACAAGTTCAAAAGGAACCTCCTTTTCGATCATTTCGCCCATGGAACGAACCACCGCCTCCCCGTAAATAGGATCACACTTCAAGTTGCAATTTTCTTCAGCGTAATCTGTCGCATTTTCTAACTCTTGGCGGTGCTTCCGTTTTTTCTCATCAGCAGGTGGAGGGACGAAGTTAACCATCTTTACACAGTCTTCTAGAAAGTAATCTGTTAGTGAAAATATAAACAACCTGTATATAACACAGTACTACGTGGAGAAAATGATTACAATAGAAAGCTGTGTAACGAAATATAAGACATATTAATGCTAAAACATGTAGGTATTTTTAGTCATGATATATATATATATATATATATATATATATATATATATATATATATATATATATATATATATATATATATATATATATATATATATATATATATATAAAGTTCCCCTTCATCTTCAACAACTCTGTGCAATGCAGAACTGCGTCGCTGGGATTTCTAAACTACTTTACAATACCTTTTGGCAACAAATGGAAAAAGTTCATACGAAAAAACCAATGTAATTATCTCCATCATTATTTAAGTTAACCCATAGGCAATGGAAAATTATTGGGTGATATTTAACTTCACAAGAGAAAAGTTGACATTCAGAATGATCGCAGAACTTTCATTCTTGCACTTGAGTAGTTGATTAACCATCTACAGACAGATCAAGTTTCACTCAAGTAGTCTACCCGAAAATATATTTCACGATAACAATTACCAAAGACGATCACAGCCCTTTTTGGCTAGGAGTAAGCTTATAAGTAATTCCACGCAACTTTTTTACTGCTGTAGTTTCCTTCCTCATTTGTTCCTTTAAATTTTAGTTTGTGACTGTTTGAGGATGCCAGATTCTCAGAAATCACTTCGTAAACGTTTTATTTTTGTGATTTTATTTTGAAAGTCTGAAATTCTCATTTTCCCGCCAAAGGTGCTCATTTTTACCTTCAGATTGTATTTTCCACTTGGAAGGACCTTAAATGTCATTGGTTCGTTTCCTCTCCTAATAGACTATTTTTGGATCGTTTCCCAAGGGCATTTTATACTGTGCATATACGCTTGAGTTGTATGCTTGTTGGTTATGTACTACTGACTGCTCGTTGAATATATCTTTCCCTGATTCTGATCTTCTTCCTCTAGTTAGTAAGGCTGGGGCGCAGTGAATAGTTTGGCTTTTCTGTTATCGTGTTGCTGACTTTCGTTCCGTTCGCCGGTTAAATGAATCGTAATCTTTTCAAGAGTAACAAACTGAGGCTAAATAAACAATACCAAGTTTCAAATTACTGCAATAGATTTTTGAAAAATAAAACAGAAATACGCATTTACTTACACTCAACAGGGTGTGTACGACCCTCGATGTCCAAAACCATACAATCGCCAAAGTATTCGCTGAACATAGTTATGTCAATGGTAGCAGACATAAGAACAAGTCGGAGATTTCTGTTTGCTCTTATCATTTCGCGCAGTAATATGAGCATGAAATCTGTATTAACGTCTCTCTCATGTATTTCATCAACAATAACATGAGACACTCCTCGAAGACCTCCTTCCATTTTGCGTGCCATTGTCCCAACAGTGCAAAACAAGATAGACCCGTACGGACGAGGATAAACGGTCTCAAAACGAACACAATATCCAACAGACGTTCCCACAGTTTCGCCTCTCTCATAAGCGATGCGTTCGGCAAGGCTTATAGCAGATATACGTCGTGGTTGTGTTACCAGAATAGAACATTCGGCACCTATTCCCGATTCTAAATACGAGTCCAAAATGAACTGAGGAATCTAAAATTATAAATAGACATATAAATAAAAAGAACAAACATGTTCACGTTTACCACATATGTACTGTAAACATACAATGAATTTACATAAGATCAAACAAACCTGAGTGGTCTTGCCACATCCGGTTTCGCCACGAATAATTGTCACTTTATTCCGTCTAACGGCTTCTAGTATTGAAGCCCTGTAAGGATTCACGGGTAACTGAGCACGCTCATCCATTAATGACCGCAACTGAGGGTCGCTATCAAGTCGACGTAACCGTTCGTCAGCCAAGTTAGCGCTAATATGAGGTAATGGTTGAGTAGCCTTAAGATGAAAAGACAAATGGTATATTTAGAGATGAAACTAAATAGCAAAAATGTGAGTCAGCCAAAAGATATAAATAATACACATGGGTAATTTTTTTACATTTTAATTCATTACGTAAAAAAAGCAAAACAATGTCACTACAGTTTGCGATTCTTAACTGTATGATAATGCTAATTTCTTTGTATCATTTAGTGCGGAATCTATCATAGGTGATTTTCTACAAACAATTTATAAACAGATAAATTGCTTGATTTACGTTTATATCGAGATTTTTCAAATGACACCTTAAAGTATATCAACACTTTTTAGCCATGAAATCTGACAGAAAAATAATATAGTTTACAAACTAAAATTTCAATTCAATGCACAAACCATACATCATATTATGAAACAAATTTAAATCTCAATAAATTAAATAGCCAGTAACTTGTGGTATATATATAGTTTACTTATTAGGGAAGTAAAAATAATTAACTGAATTCCTAACGAACTAAGGACTGATAAAAAGACTAAATATCAATAAATACTTAGCGGAAGCTAGAATCACTGCACACAAATTTTATTTAGTAACTTAGAACACGTAGTAGGAATTTTATTCAACTCATTCTTATCACAGCTGGAACTACATCAAGTCTAGGATTATTCATTCCAAGCTGTTAAGCTATTGAAGGGCGTGTAAAGGTGTTTAAACATTCGGCTCTCAATAATCAGATTTCAAGTTCCAGCTTCGCTCCACATATTCCATTCAAGAAAATCAGGGAATGCTATCTAACTTCGCAATAAGTTTAGCACTCAGTGTATTAAATATACTTACGAGGTTATCTGGTTTAAGTAAAAGTAGGTACCACCTTCAGATTACTAGACTAAAAATTACATTGATCCTTGGATAGTGTACTGTATCAATGAATTAAATTCAAGATGGCGGCCCTGAGATTTTCGCGCAAAATTTAAAACTTGATGACGGACAGCTTGTAACTTATTTAGAGCTAAGTAAAACCCACTAATAATTAGTTGATAAGATTGACAAACACTGCAAGACTAAAGAGTAAGGACGAACTTGAGCGAATCTTAGTGACTTTGGGAGAGTGATTAGTTTACCACGGAAAAGTAGTAATAGAAAACAAATAAAACTAAGATGTGCATAATATCGTACAGTGATTAACAAATTCCCAAAGTGATCTGAAGATACTTGAAACTGGAAATCAAAAAGCTAACTGAATAAGCATTCGTACATATGAATACAAAACATTCGCCGACCTTAACATGGTTTTTGCAATTATTCATTTATACCATGCACATGATTGACCCACAGTGGAATTCGCGTTCACAAGGTTATTTTAAGTTGTCGAAGGACACTAATTATATTTTACCAATCCTTGAGAAGAATGATGCTTTTCAATTGAGTCGATTTGGACGACCTACTACTGATAACCGGCTGGTTTCTTGATGCTATACTGATAGACATAGTGCTAACAAGCGTAAATTATATTATTTTCAGTATAACCAATAGTCTCTTATGAAAACCTACCTCTGGACCTTCATCGATATTGCAAGCAGTCCATGGATTCCAGTTAGGGAGTGGTGGACACCAAGCGACCAACTGGGGTTGTTGTTTAGGAGCATCACCAAAGTCTACCAAGTTGTAATTGGTAATCATATTATAAGCTTGATCTGGTGGGAGACTTGAAGGTTTCAAATTAACGGGAAGACCCAAATTTTCCAACACATCGGTTAAATTTTCTTCAACTTTTGAATTCAAATTGACATCATGCACTGCAACCTTAATACAGATATAAACAGCTAAAATGTTTTGATTCATTGGTGAATCACGGAAAACGCAAAACAGGAAAAGTGCCATCAACGGTTTATCTCCATTAAATAATTAATTACAACTTTGTAACATGAATCAAAGACGAAATAAAGTTCATGAGAGCTAGAATTGTAGAAACTAGATTTCTGGACTGTTATGATCTCTCATTACGACCCAGCTACTCTTATTGCTTAGTATTCTTCGGACACTACTTCGCTCTGAATCAGAACACGGTTGAACAAGAACGTAATTATATTCCAAATGAACAAGGTTGGATGGGAGTAAAAATCACAAGAAAAACTTTAGTACATTTGAAATTCTAGTCTTCTCTAATTAACCATTCGTGCTGATTGGTTAAGAAATGACCAATCAGCCTGCTCCAACACAGTCCTACAAGGAACATGCTTAGATTGAATATATATCCCGCCAACAGGAATTTTTAGCTAGATTTTGATCCGGATTTTTTTTAACAACTTGTTTGTTTTCAGTGTATTTTGTTATATTTATATATATATATATATATATATATATATATATATATATATAACTCAACTTTACCATCTATTGGTTTTTTTTCATTGAGACTATTGACGCAATCTGGAGTTGCGTCAATATTCTAAATGAGACTACGCAACAAGAGAAATGGAATCTGTAAATCACTTTATAAATCAAGTACAACACTCTAAAACCAAGTACTACATGAATCAAATCAGAGATTAAGAATCTAGTTTTCAGAAGTAAATAATTTCATAGACTTTGACTGAGTGGGGAACTATGACAGAATCCGAGCGAGAACCTACCATAATTTCCAAATATACTTTGACAGAGCAATAACTGCAATTAGGAGTCGGACACGTTGGGTGACTTAGTTCAAAATCGATCAGCGACTTACTTACGCCTGTTACTCCTCGTGGAGGAGAATAGGCCACTCACCAGCATTCTTCATCCAACCCTGTCCTGAGCAATCCCTTCCACATCCTTCTAATTGTTATTCACCCTTTTCATATCTGCTTCTATTCCCCGACGTAATGTGTTCTTTGGCATTCCGCTTCTCCGCCTCCCTTCAGGATTCCAAGTTAGGGCTTGCCTCGTGATGCAGTTTGACGATTTGCGTAATGTATGTCCTATCCATTTCCATCGTCTTTTCCTAATTTCTTCTTCAGCTGGAAGTTGGTTTGTTCTCTCCCACAGAAGGCTATTGCTGATGGTATCCGGCCAATGGATGTTGAGTATCTTGCGTAGACAGCTATTTATAAATACTTGTACTTTCTTGATTGTGGTTGTTGTAGTTCTCCAAGTTTCAGCTCCATACAGTAGAACTGCCTTGACGTTCGTATTGAAGATTCTCACTTTGATATTGGTTGAAAGTTGTTTTGAGTTCCATATGTTCTTCAATTGTAGGAATGCGACCCTTGCTTTGCCGATCCTCGCCTTTACGTCTGCATCTGAACCTCCTTGTTCATCGATGATGCTTCCCAGGTATGTGAAGGACTCTACATCTTCCAGAGTTTCGCCATCAAGAGTGATTGGATTGCTGTTCTCCGTGTTGAATTTGAGGACCTTGGTTTTCCCTTTGTGTATGCTGAGGCCTACTGATGCAGAGACTGCTGCTACACTGGCTGTCTTCATCTGCATCTGTTCGTGTGTACGTGATAGGAGGGCTAGGTCGTCTGCGAAGTCCAAATCGTCTAATTGATTCTGAGCTGTCCATTGTATTCCGTGTTTTCCTTCAGATGTCGAGGTCTTCATAATCCAGTCGACCACCAGAAGAAAGAGGAAGGGAGAGAGTAAACAGCCTTGTCTGACTCCAGTCCTTACTTGGAATGCATCTGTCAGCTGTCCTCCATGCACTACTTTGCACTGTAGTCCGTCGTATGAGTTCCGGATAATGTTGACAATCTTCTCAGGAACTCCGTAGTGTCGAAGAAGTTTCCATAATGTCCTCCTATCTACACTGTCGAATGCCTTTTCATAATCAATGAAGTTGATGTATAGTGATGAGTTCCACTCCACTGATTGTTCGACGATGATCCGTAGTGTTGCAATTTGGTCTGTGCACGACCGATCCTTACGGAATCCAGCTTGTTGATCTCGAAGTTGGGCGTCTACTGCATCCTTCATCCGGTTCAGCAACACTCTGTTGAAGACTTTCCCTGGTATTGACAGTAGTGTAATGCCTCTGTAGTTTTCACATTTGCTCAGATCTCCTTTCTTTGGAATCTTGACGAGGTGTCCTTCTTTCCAGTCCATCGGCACTTGTTCCTCCTCCCAAATCTTTTTGAATAGAAGGTATAGCATGCTTGTGGTTGCTTCGATGTCTGATTTCAGTGCTTCAGCTGGTATGTTGTCGGGTCCTGCTGCTTTCCCGTTCTTGATTTGTCTGACGGCCATTCTAATTTCTTCCGTCGTTGGTGGGTTGACATCTATAGGAAGATCTATGTGTGCTGCTTCGATGTCCGGTGGATTCATTGGAGCCGGCCTATTCAGGAGTTCCTCGAAGTATTCTACCCATCTGTTACGCTGTTGTTGAATTTCGGTGATTGGCTTGCCTTCTTTGTCTTTGACCGGCCTCTCTGGTTTACTGTATTTCCCTGCTAGTTTCTTCGTTGTATCGTGAAGCTGTTTCATATTTCCTTCTCTAGCAGCTTTTTCTGCCGTCGTTGCTAGTTCTTCCACGTATTTCTTCTTGTCGGCTCTAATGCTCCTCTTCACTTGTTTGTTTGCTTCTATGTATTCAGCTTGTGCTTGGACTTTCTCTTCTCGTGTTCGGCTGTTGTTAATTGCTGCCTTCTTGTTCTTCCTTTCTTTGATCTTGTCCAGTGTTTCTATAGAGATCCATTCCTTATGATGGTGTTTCTTTAGGCCCAGAACCTCTTGACACGTTGAAGTTAATGCTTCCTTGATGCCTTTCCAGTTGTCCTCCATACTAGTTTCTTCTTCTTCAGTAGATCTTGTAAGGCTTGGAACCTGTTGTTGAGAGCTATCTTGAATTCATTGAGTTTGTCAGTATCTCGAAGGAAGGCTGTATTGAACCTTTGTAGTGCTGTTTGTCCACTTGTCCAGTTCTTTTTTAGCTTCAGTTTTAAATTGGCTACAACTAGGTGGTGATCTGAAGCTACGTCAGCACCTCTCCTGGTTCTCACATCTTCCATTGTCCTTCGGAATTTTTTGTTGATGCAAATATGATCTATTTGGTTCTCTGTAGTGTGGTCCGGTGAGATCCATGTAGCCTTGTGTATACGCTTGTGTGGAAATATTGTGCCTCCTATGACCAATTTGTTGAATGCACACAAATTTGCAAATCTTTCTCCATTTTCGTTTCTTTCTCCCAGTCCATGTCGTCCCATGATATCTTCATATCCAGTGTTGTCTATTCCGACTTTGGCATTTAGATCTCCCATCAGAATAGTTAGGTCCTTTCTTGGCATTTCTCAATGATTGACTGCAGCCGCTCGTAGAACTGATCTTTAATGTCGTCGTTGCTATCATTGGTGGGTGCATAACATTGGATAATATTCATTAAGATCCCCTCCTTCTTTGTTTTGAATGATGCTTTGATGATTCTGGATCCGTGAGACTCCCATCCTACAAGTGCATTTCGTGCTACTTTGGACAGCATAAGAGCGACTCCCTGAGTGTGTGGAGCATTTTCCTCTTCGTGACCGGAGTATAGCAGCATCTCTCCCGTAGCTAGCCTTTTCTGTCCAGCTTGGGTCCAGTGGGTTTCGCTGATTCCCAGTACTGCTAAGTTGTATCTCCTCATTTCCATTGCTATTTGACTGGTCTTCCCGGTTTCCCACATTGTTCGAACGTTCCATGTACCTATAAAAATTTTTGCTCTGGTTGTTAGAAGGGGCATCGGCCTCGTGGCTTCCGAAGGAACTCGGCTTTCACCATGAAGCGTCATAATTCTTCTAACTGAAGACCTTCTAACTCCCAGGGCAGAGTTTAAATGGTTTGGATTATTTTTTCTGGTAAGCGTTTTTTTAGCGAGTTAGTTTTCTACGGGATGGGGACGCTAACCCCATGCCCAACCCTCCTCCTTTACCCGGGCTTGGGACCGGCAGTAACCCTATTAGAGCTATACTGACGCATATACTCATTATCTTCGTGTCTTGAGTATCCATAATATTTATTCTTATATTTATTTTTATTCATCTGATTTATTCATTTTTTGTACCATATTATTCAATGTCTAACCGTTCTCATTATCACTGACACTAACAGTTTCAATTATTTTATATCATTAACTTGACTTAGCCCTATAACTAAAGAACCGTGAGAATTAAATACCATGAAAATATAGCCTGCCAACATGACTTTCATAAAAATAAATATCTTGGATAGGAATTCATCGTGGTGTATAACAGTAAATAAAAAACAGCTTTGCGTAAACTTACCTCACTGTGCTTCTTTTTTCGTCTTTCGCCAGTATATGCTTCCAATTCGCCTGCATGAAAGAGCTGCCGGACCAGTGATAGGCAACAAGCACGAGATGCTAGTTGTTTGTTTGACCCCGCCTCCCGAGCGTACAGGGTTTTCCGAAGATTTTTCGCCAAGACAGTCATCTCCGCTATGTAACTCCTGTAAGCATTTTAAACAGTTGATTCAAAGTAATGCGTTTATTTGGACATTTTAAAAGAAACTTTATGCTAATTTGGAATAACTAATTTAGCATGATTAGGTGAATTATCCTGTAGCAAAAAGAACTTACCTACTACGACTGAACTTGCAGTTGAACGATGATTACGAAGGCCAAGAATACAAGCTGTAAACAAATGAATGTATCATTTTATTAGCACTCAGAGCCAACTGATCGCCAAGACCACTCAATTCGTTAAAATATAAGCGAAATTGAGTGGAGAAGCGATCAGGGCACTGAATGCTCCTTATGTCACCCAGCGTTCCTGTCCGCCTGGCCACTATGTATAAATATATGATGTCACAAGAGCCATAACTGCGAGCTAATATATCGACTTAATACATTTACACAAATAGCACCATATGGCGCTGTCTCACCTGCTATGATCTGGACCGACTGAAGTATATTTCACTTGGCCCACTTGCTGGCGAGTTGCTTGTAAGTATTCATTTAGACGTGCCTTGGCGTTTTCCATAGACCAACCACCATGCAAATCAGAAGTTAAATCCACCTCTTCTGCCTTAACACAAAGAATATGAAGTTATACAAACACTACCTCTTCCAACTTCTTTTGGTCGTATATGCTACTGATGTAGCTACCACCAGAACCTAACGAATTTCCTTGTTGTTGAGAACTTTGCCCAAAGTTTTCAGATGTAGATGCGCTTGCAGATTCCGGATATACGACATTCCCAGGCTGTTAATTTAGACACAAACATGCAACATACTTGTATCGTTGGAACGGAAGATGCAGGGATTTCACCTTCACGAACAAGGTAGTTAACAAAGTCTCTAGCTGCATTCGTTTGAGCTTCTTTTTTTGTTGTAGAATTTCCTATTCCAACGTAATTGTAGCCATCAGCCCGAGCCTATAACTAGGTGCAGGGAGAGAACTATACTTACCTCACAAAGAAACCTAACCTTATTCCGACCGACGGGCTTCTCAATGAAAGTATACTCCGGTGCTATGCGTTTCTTAGTTTGCAAGAAAGTGTACAGAAATGACTTAATCCCCTCAGGATCACACATGGACGATAATTATTGAGATCTGAAAAATGAGAAGCATATTTTTATGTAAAAAATTGGCGGAAAACAAGAATGCAACTTAAGCTCAATATTCAGAGAAAAAAGTTCTAGAACAATTACAAATATAAACCTGTTAACATATGATACAATACAATGGCATGCAGCTAGCGAAACAAAATAAACGGTAATGTTTCAACGGTCTCGCAAAATGAGTGTATATTGGAACACTTTTAGTCTTCGTTTATGTAATAAAATGAGCAGGAACGCCTTACAATGGGAGCAAAGTAACTTTACTAATCACTTAGATGTGTGGTGGGAATTTCAAGTACCAAGTTAGAAGACAGTAGTCTCATGGCGAATTCAGGTTGGTGTGCAAATAATGTGTACATTGGTGAGCCCTACAACATTCATATGTAAAAGACTTTCTGTGTTTATGAAACTCGTTCTGAGCAATTATGAACTTGGTACGAGTATAAAGATACTCACATTTTCAAATGTCTTACATGGAAAGAAGAAACAGATATTCAGTCATGGGTAATTGGTAGTCTCAATTATACCGTCCTTTGTGAAGAATTATCTATTGGTACAAATAGGCGCCAAATATATATGCGCCATATAAATCATTCGATTTGTGTGGGGGCTCGAATACTACCCAAGTGCTCAAACTGAGACAAGTAGTTTTCTTAGGGGCCAGTCCCCGAGTCTTTGACATAGATGTCCAATCCACAAGGGAACGAAGCAATGTTAGGAGATGCAGTCCCATGGCAGCCGGTGAACAACCATAGGTTCACACGTCATTTGTCCCCTCTGGATCCTGGAGCCCATGTGCAAAATTTGGATCGGAATTATGATTCTCCAACTCCCCTAGATTTATACACCGTACCCACCAACCTGGTTAAAGCGTCGGCCATTCGCTTTTCGTCCTTCCATTCTTTCGTTCCACCGCAAGAAAGCCGAGTAGGACTTCCTAGGTTGTGAGGGTACTTCGAGAGGGAGACGGACTCTACCTACTCCCAGCCGTACCAGGACAGTTTGAGGCTGTGGGAAATTACGAATGTAAATATGCTAAAATAAGATCGAAAAGGTCAAAAACACAAGATAATAGTGCGCGGTCATTTGTTTAGCCTTTTTATTGTTCGGTTTGAAAATTACCATTGAGCGTGCTAAGTTGATCTGGTCACATGAACACATATCGTTCGAATTAAAGAATGATATTAACTTGGAAGGCTTCTAAATCAATTTGAGAAACTGAAACTAATATCTAGCTAATCAGAAAAAAGTTTTTACTAAAAAATGACCTATGATATAAAACAGAGAAATTGTTTACGGCTTTTAAAACATTATCGAGATAATCCATGCTCCGAAAAAGTTTGTATTAGGATCGAAGAATATTCGGTTCTACAGTGAGCCATGAATGGCTAAACGTCCGGCTTTCAATTGCAAATCAAGGTACTGAAACATAACACCAAGCTAGTATCAAGATTAAGAGTTATTTTCGAAATCGGATTCTGAGTAAGGGTAAATATATACTTATTCTGTATCCTAATTCTAATGAGGAATTGTAGTGCCTCTTGACAAAATTAAGCATATTTAATCCTAACTACAAATAAAAGAGTACTGCATCGTGCCATGACAACCTGGTATTGCGATTAGTCGCTATCATTATTTTGATTAAAATGGGTAGCAGTTCAGTTGAATCCAGATACTACACAAACAGACAGTAACATTTAGCACTATCAACTGGTTTCAGTACGTATTCTAAATTATCAAAGACCAAGGACTTTAAACACACAACTATCGAATCGGGTGGATTTCGACGAAACGTCAAATTGGCACTCTCATGAATCCCTTTTTGATAGCTTATCAAGACCATTTGGGGTTTTGAGCTGGTACTCGACGCTAATGTGAAATACCGCAGTAGGAAACAGTGAAGTTATTCAGCTACAACGTAAGACCAGACACATATATGCATCGATTCAAGTTGCCACACCTCATTAGCACAGCGAGATGAACACCGGATTCATAGAAGCAATTAATTCAATGGTGGTAATATATAAAAGGAAGATTTTGTATAAGGATATAGTACAGGAAGAGAGAATTAGTTCATAGGAATAAAGATATGAAGCGACTTTAACCTATTAGTTTAAGGGAAGAGAGTGTATACAAAGACGCCATTGTGATCGATTCTGAGTCATGTCACACAGTCTGCAGTCATTGGTTACGATAGTCGCGCGGACCCCCAACCAAGTAGTCTGCATCTACCAACATGGCTAAGACTAGAAGTTAGTGACTTCAAGCGCCGATGCCACGTTTTGGTTTGACCGCCTCAAACTTTCTTCCAACCACCCTCAGTGGGAAATGCTCATGGTACGTTTGGTGATGATCATAACAATGAATGACCGAGTGGGATAGTTTATTTATTTATTTGAACACATAAATACTGGTACAATGGGGCACCAGATACATATGCGCCACACAAATCTCATTTGATTTGTGTGAGGGTTGTGATACTACCCAGGTGCCCAAACCGAAGTAAGTGGTTTTCTCAGGGGACCACACCCGGAGCCTTCGACCTAAAGGTCCGATTCACAAGACAGTGGAGCATCGTAAGGAGATGTTGTCCCATGGTAGCCGGTGACCAACGATTGGTTCATATACCATTTGTTCCATCAGGGTACTAGAGCCCTTGTGACCATTGGTTTGGAACCAGGGTTTTCCAACTCTCCTAAGTGGACTCCCTGTATCCACCAACCCGGTTAAAGCGCTGGACATTCGCTTTTCGTCCTCTCAATTCCGTAAACAGCACCCCCTCCACGAGAAGGTAGTGAGTAAGACTTCCCTAGCAGAGGCTACATACGCGTGGCCAGGTGAGAACATCTCGAGAGGGAGAGCAGACTCTCCCACTATCGGCCGTACCAGGGCATTTGGGGGCCGAAAGGGATCCCTTTATCGAAAGGCATAAACAACTGAACCACTAGGGCATTGGTTTCAGATCACTAGAAAGTCTAGCGAGACTGTATTAATGAACGAACCAATTAACTAAGAATAGCAAGTTTTATATTTTGGCGCGAGGTTCATTCATTCATATGGTTAAATGGCATTTTTCTACTATATTTGGTGTCAGTCAGTGATAAGAACGCTTACTTTAATTCCTGGCCTTAAATTCAAATTTTAAATCCCGATACTAATTATTTTACTAATATCTAGTTTTTACTTTTAATTCCGTTCTGTATGAAATCTAGAATGTTTGTGACGAACCAACGTAAAGCATTTGATTTTCGTGGGCTCACTTTTGTGTTAAGGTATAATGTCAGGTCCTTCGCGGCACCCGTTGACGGTGAAATTGGCCCCAGTAAATCGGATGGTCCTTCAAAGGTTTTGGTTCGAATAAGTGAGTGCTGCTGTCCCATGGGAGTGGAAATGCTGTAAACAGTACTTATTATGTTCAACAGTAGTTAAATCAGTTAAAATAAGAGTAGAGGGAGAACAAAGGTTCAAAATAAACATACTAATTAGTCAAACGATTAAAAAGTAAAGACAACGCAAAACCTGGGGAGAAACTTCAAGGTGTTATATAAGATTCTGTAGAAATATTGAGGAAAATCACTCAATTTCCCCAAATATTTTAGGGATTTCCCCAGACATGGGGAAATTCCGGGCTTTTAGTGCCATTTCCCAAATTTTCCGTAGCCGTTTACCCCAAAAGAGATTGGGGATATCCCCAAAGTCAAATCACCTTCACCAAGGTTGGAGGGGAATTTGGGGGAAATATTGGGGAATTCCCCCAGACCTGGGGGATTTTTGGGTTTTGGTGCCATTTCCCCAAAGTTTACTATAGCGGCTTCCCCAAAATTGGGAGTTCGGGGAGCCAATGACGAACTTGCGGAATAAGAAACAGGTACATAAACACAGATATATAGAAGCAGCAAAAAAGTGGAGACACTGAGAGGCGTAGTATACCTTATTACTAACCCCATAGGACAGACAAAGTTAATATATGCCTCTCATCACTATTACTGAAACGATAGTTACGGTGATGGCTAAAATGTACGACATATAAAGACGAAAATGCCGAGAAATAAATGGCGAACACCTAACGATGGGAGGGAATTTGGGATGCAATATCAAATGACATGTGAAGAATCAATTACCAAACGAACAGCAAATCAATGCGAATAAAAACCAAACTTCGGACGACAACAGAGTAAGCGCTCAAAGTGAGGGGATGATACAAGACCAATGAGTTAAAACAAATGGGTCCCATAAATGTACATTATTTCATGCAGTAACACAACTCATGGGTCCCAAAATTATTTTTGTTTAAGGTGTGCAAACTCTGGAATTTTTAGGACACATAATAAGGGATTACAATGAAAAAAGAAGAAGATGGCATCATTAGGTAATATTCCATACCAAGTTATCTAACACATCATATGAGTTTTCTAGATTTAGTTAACTTTTGTTGTAGATTCATACATAGTTGTGCTCAGTTAGTGTAACTTTTGACAAATTCCTATGACGGCAAACAAAAGAATTTAACCTAACTTCTAAGGCTGTTGGAGCTGTTAAACAGCTAAATAAGAAAGTGGCTCAAGCATCCACGCTAACGCGTCCGAATTCCCATTTCTCATTTACATTGATGGATGATGCTTCGAACAAAGCAGTAGGTGGCACCCTCGACCAACTGTCTGAAAACTGCTGGAAACCGATTCAGTTCTCAAAAAGACTCGCTCCAGTAGAGACAAAGTATTATTACCTTCAGACAAGAACTGCTCGTAATTTTCCTAACCACTTAGCATTTCCAACACACTAAATTCAAACTAAGACAGATACCATCAGGTAGTTTGATTTACTGTGTGCCGACCGAGGCGATGCTTCGACCGTTCGTCCCCAAAAGTACGCAAGAAAAAATATTTGACAACTTTCGTGCTTTGTCTCATGCTGCCTCGAAATTTATTACCAAACCAATCAATGCGAGATACACATGGCCGAGTTTACAAAACGATGCAGAAAAATGGATTAGACAGTGTTCGCCTTGTCAACAATCAGAGGTTAACCGTCAATGCACATGCAGATTAAAAGGTCTGTTACTGTGTTCCAATAGTTTTAATTATCTATTTACATCTATAAATCGTTTCACGAGGCTTCCCATAGCCATACTGACAACGGGCATCACGGCCGAAACAGTGGCCAAGGTTTTTATACATAACTGGGTGACCATTTTTGGTAAACCTATTGCAACAACAACAGACAAAGAAACTCGATTTGAATCTGAACTATCCAACAACTTATCTGAAATTTTGAGCTCCATCAGAATACGTTAAACTGTATATCATCCTTAGGCTAGTGGGATAACAGAACGTTTCCACTGTCAGTTAAAGGCTTCTCTAATATCACACTCAAACCCAAGTCAGTGAACAGAATTCCTGCCACTAGTTATGTTGGGAATAACAACAGCTGTCGAAACTTATTCACAGTGTTCAGCAGCACAACTAGTCTTCAAGACAACTCTGATACTATCAAATGAGCTAATCAATCCTTGAACTGAATGCAATAAACTTGACTTGGAAAGTTACGTGGACCGTCTGCGGAGCCAAAGAACCGAACTTAAACCAATTAATGCTCGTGAACAGCTGCAAGCAGCATTTGTACCCTGAGACCTAAGTATTCGCACGCACGTTTGGATGAGGTGTAACAAAATAAAAGCACCACTTGGCTCTCCATTCTAAGGTCCATACAAAGTTATCCCGAGAAAACTTAAACATTTCGTAGTACATAAACATGGAAACACAGACTCAGTAAGCACTGATAGGCTAAAACCGGCTTATTTACATAACGAACCACCATACGTATTATTAGACTGTTCACCTGACAAAATAGTTTAGGAATTGAAAAGCAACAGCTAGAATTCTCTACAGGTGACCAAAACGTTTAGATGGGCACGGCTGTTTACTCAAATGGGGATATCTACAGTTGTGGGTTAAGCTTAAAATTTAAATTTGTATCTACTAAACTTCTGGTTTATGAAATTCTGTGCGCTTATTTAAATAACCAAAACAAAAAAGATGGTTTTACACGTACCATTCTACTGGTATTTTCAAAATAATAGTACACACAGCAGCACTCTTCAGTAATATCTTACCTGCTCTTCTTCAGATCATTTACCTTTTATGTCTGAATGTTATATTAATTTTTTTATACTAATTACATAAGTGATTTATCCCCACACAATCCGCCAAGAAAACGTCATATCAGCAGGGGTAAGTTACAAAGGAACGAAGAGTCTTCGATTGAGGTAAGGGGTGTGAGCAAGCTATCTTTGTGAAGTCAGTCATTGTTTTATATTTTTCCATTAGAAGAAAATAAGAAAGTCTGGTAAAATCACTGAATAAAATCCCTGAGAATAATTCCTGTAAGTCCAGGCAATGGGCCCTCACAATAACGATGAATTCTGAAAGTAATCCAGTCGAGTGTCTCTAGTTCATCAGATGATCTATTATGTTTATGGTACTTGTTACGGGAGGACTGAAGACATTTGGCTAATTAAAACCTTTATATCAATATTATTCATTTCAGTGCGTTTTTCGATGTATTTGTTTTACTCAACTTCATTAGTTTCGGACATTTCGGTTTCTTTATCTTTGGTTTGGTATTTGAGAGTTTTTGCTCCGGCAACCTACAAAATTGAAGGTTTGTTCTGTAATTATTATAATTATTGTTGTAAGAATGACATTTGGGTCAACTATTTGTAAATTGCAAATAAACTTTGGTATCTAAATTGGAGTTTGGTTCTATTGTTCATTCGCGTTCGTAAATTGCAAATAGATCGATATACCGTACTTCAATAACGGGAACGAGCAAAAACGTGGACGTAACAATATTTATACCATGAAGCACTTAAACTCATCTAGACTATCCATATATACATATAATCACTGAAGCCACATACAAACTCGTTTTTGATATAAGACATCCCATGGTTTCAAACGACAATATACTACCAATAAAATGTGTGTTTAAAACGATGCATTTTAATTCAGCAATAGTTCGACACTTGTTAGTAACTTTCATCGTCATTTTTATATGCCTATAAAGGTTATGCACTAGATTAACGAATATTTATGCAACATGATTTCTAATATAATCAGGTAACTCAGATTCATTGGCGTTATTCAAACCACTGTTTTTAACGTCTCATTGCTGACATGATCGAATCAATAAACGTGAACGTGTAGTCGTATTGGTCACTAACTACACGATTCTCAAAGCTGAACATATAATCACTGAGAAGATTGACATTGGACGTGTAGCATTGAAGGAGGTTGTTAATGGTGAATGTGGTAAAAATCGACTGGTCTGGTATGGCTCAGCCTTGCAGATGTGGTCATTCTCGTGTAACTCATACCTTTCTTCATTAAATATGTTAACTTTTCCTCAGCCCAAATGTGCCCGTCTGGAGTGCCAAACATCGTACTGCCGTCTCTTACCATACGACGAGTCAGTGTAGACAATGATTTGACTTCCGCGTAAGATCTTAAAGATCAAGTAGTCACACCATAATAAATTTACAATTTTGGGATTACGCCAATTATTAGAGTAGTACAAATACCGAGTTAGCTCATACTTCAACAGATGTATTTTGAACCATCAAAAGTTTTCAGCGTCTATAGCAACACTACCTCTTTTCCCATAGCTAATGCCAAACCAAGACTATAAATAGCTATTCACAATGGTCTCTCGACATCGTCGCTGATATGAGCGACAAAACTAGGACATAAATCAGTCGATAATCTGACTGACAAATATTTCCACAAATAGTGTCGTTTTCCAGCAGTTATCTCCATCTAAAACTGATGTTTCCAAAACAGTTTCTTATCACTAGGTTCCTTAGTAAGTGCTGTGTAACTATCAGTTTGATTCAGGTTTTGACGACAGCCACTTGTGCAAACCATAATTGTAAGCAGGTGTGCGATTCCCCTAAAAACTGAAAGCATCACTGTCGTATTTATACAAATACTGAATGAGAGCTCATACCATTAGCATAGAAATAGGTCGCGAGTTATGCTCCGTTTGACTAAGACCACTGCTCACACTGATAATCTCATGTCTCGCACTCACCTTATCAATTTCTGGGCATTCAGTTAACCGAAGACACCGCACGTTACATAATCTTTGACGAAACAACTTGGTCTGTATTGATTTCAGATAATTTCTTTCAAACGGATTGATTTGTAGCTTATGTTTGACCTAAAGATGCCGCAGGTAATCGGAGTTTTACGATGCCTTTACCAGTAACACCTTTATATTCAAAGTATATCGACTCAGCCAAATCAGAAGTCGAAAGCGGAGGAGTTCGGAGATATACTTAGAGGATTATCGATATGTCGAGAAACGTTTGGTCTATTCTGACTAACAGTCGAAGGGTATGCATAGCATAGTGTACCCATGCCTGATCTAGTGTGAATGCGTGACCGACTGCCTGAATCTTGGTGAGTCCAGTGGGAAAATGAGGTCAATATCAATGTCGAAGACTTTCAGAACTATTTACTTCGGGGACATATTTACAACTACAGATCACTCCCCTACCTTAGTGAGGTAGTGATAAACTTAAGACATGGCCAATCAGAAGTTTAAACCCAATTAGTATGTCGTTAGTAAACACTCTTCTGATAGCTTACAATGTTTAGCAGCGTCTGTTCGTCTTTTCTTGTTATGAGAAGCCATGTGATACAACAAGGCGATGAAAAAATGTCCAAAGAAGATTTCTCTCAATTTTCATCATTTTCAGCCGTCCCGGCAAAGAAAAAAGAGATTGAAAATGAATGTTGAAATACACGTACGTGAGTACGGACAAAATGTGCGAAAAAGAAAGGTAAGTTGGTATGAATGCATTTCGCTAACATGTGATAACGTACAAAAATTTTTTCGCACAATGAGTTTTTGGACTTTTTAGGAAATAAAATATACATAAATATTCTTAGACCTTAGGAAAGTCTTAGATAAGGTCCCACATTAAAGACTTCTCGTCAATCTAAAGAATTTTGGAATCAACAACCCACTATACCCATAGTTTGTTTCGATCTTAACAAAACATAAACAAACGGTAAAGTACAATGACTCTCATCACCGAAACCACTTAATAATGGAGTCATCTAGGGAAGTGTATTAGGTCCACTATTGTTTCCTATGTATATAAACGATATATGTAACACCGTAAAATTTGGGAGACCATACATATACGC